TATATTAGTATGAATCATCCGCTAAAAGTTGATCAATTCGGTGAATCAACGAAATGATTCGCTGGTTTGCTTTTTTTTTCGAATTCTATTGAGAAAGATTTAAATTATTCTTGTGATTAATAATCCTTAGTCACTTTGTAAATTGGAATGATTTAAAACTTTCTTATTAAAATTCTTTTTTAATGCAAATAAACATTTATGTATTTCATGTACATCACTCTGTGCGTCTACATTTTTCATTTCTTTTTTTTTCTCTTTCTGATTTGTGAAATTTATCGATTATTCACTTACTTTTCAATCCTTTAAAAATCGTTTTTAACTTCCCTATAAATAACAATATTTCAAGTTTTGCCATTTTCATTGAGCCATAAAATTTGGCAAATTAGTTTTATTTATTCAAAGAGAGTATCACATAACTGCGCACATACAGTAATTGGTTAAATTAAATTTTTTGTTACAGGAATTGATTTACTTCAAATTATTATAGGAATGACTTCGGAAGGACTATGAAAAGAATTTACATTCCATGTCTTACGCAAAAGAAATTTAGCAATGCAAAATGTTTGAGATTATAAAATTCTGCAAATCTTATTTTGTCATAAGTTCAATCATTGTTTTTTTTTTTTTTTTTTTTTATGTTCCAAGAGTTGTAAAAACAAAACGAATCATTTCAAACTTTATCACTCATATCTTTCTTGAAATTATACTTGTTTGGTAGAAAAAAAATTTAATATCTACAAATTTGTTTGTGAAATTATGTAAAGTGTTGAAATCAATGAGCAAAATGTGAATTATCGGTTCTGCAAACATCCATTAAATATTGCTTTAATTTATACTAACGCTTTTTTTCTTGTATTTTAAAAATTATTTGAGCAATATTCTTGAAAGAAGACTTCAACAGATTGGAAAACGAAATTTGTTTAGTGAAATCATTGATAATTAATAGGATTTTAGGATATTTCATTGTTGTAATTTTTTTTTTTTTTTTTTTGTTTACAAACTTTTGCAAAATAAACTATTGTGATTTTTCCTGATGATTATTGATGACATGTAATGAAACAAAAGTAAACTATCTTTTGTTGAGATTTGCTGAAGAAAACGATACTGTTGAAAAAAATATTATTCGATCACTCGTTTTAAAAAAAAAAAAAAAAAAAACAGTATTTGAAATTGTGCGTATTTATGCATGAATTTAAAAAAAAGAAATGCAAAGTACTGTTAGTACTTATGTTGTGTACAATATACCAATGTTAAAGGATTTAAAAAATTTAAAAAAAAAATATTTGATTCCAGAAATTATTCCGGAAATTATTGACAGCACCTTATTGCTGTCCGAATGCTGCTCAATTTGCATATCGCTACTGTTATAAATTATTATCGTTGCTTTATCTTCTACTACAGCTAGCTGTGCTAGTGCTAATTGCATTATTGGGAATGTCTGAAGTAAATAGCGCTACAGTATCCACAACGACTATTTTAACAAGTACAACTGAAGCATCTGATGATGATTGGAATGCTGATAAAACAGGTACCATTGTGGTTATTTTACTGGTAAGTATTTTTTTTTTTGATAAAATATTTTTTTGATAAAATATTTTGACAGATTGATTTTTTGGTGGTAAAATTTCTAAATTTTCACTTGATCATAATCATCATTATTACTTTCAATTAGAGAAAGGACGAAAGATGTAGGCAAAAAGAGAAGTTTGAAAAATATTTTAAGAATACAAATTCAAGACAGTTAATGCATAATTGCTTTTCAAATTTTGTCGTAATATGATGGAGAAATTACCTTGTTACAAAAATAAGGTAAATCATATATCAGACGGACACTTAAAGCAAAATTTACTGTAGTGACCAGTAAAAGCAGTAGTATGAAGCATCAATTCAAAGGAAATTTGTAATTTGTCATGACAAATTTCTTTTGAATTTTGAAATTTGGACATTTGTCATCTTATACTTTTTTCAGAAATTAACGAATAATGGAGTGCGACTTATAGGAGATAGTAAAACACAAATATTTTGGTGCTTGAAAATTTTCTATGAATCGACGAGAAATAGATTCATCAGATAAGTAAAATTAAGACTTATTGTAAAATTTGATAACTTTTCAGGTTATACTTATTAGTCTCATTATTGCTGGCTACATTGGCTATCGTAAATTGAAAGAACGACGTCGCAGTCATGGCGAATATCGGCCACAGTTTGAGGAATATCAACATGCTAAAAATTTGCCTTATTTACAGCCTCCCAGTATCGAAGGACTTATTTAATTTCAATAATGTATAAAAATTATATGCAAACTTTCGTAGTCTTATTTTTACAATGATGAATAATGCGCATTTTATCAATAATTGATTGCAATAACAAAACTTTCAGCATTTTTCTGCAGGAAACTATAATAAAATTGAAAAAATTCACACTGTAAAATTTAAAATATTTTAAAGTTCAATAGATTATTGATAACAAATAACTTACCATTATGAAAAGGATATAATATAATTGAATAATAATTGTTAAATGATGTTAATTAAACGAAAAGATTTGAGTCATTTCTTCATCTTTTGAAAGCAAAATTTAAAAAAAGAAAAAATCATATTTCAAATCAAAATTTTACAATTTTAAATAAAAGATGATGTCAGACATGTTTTTTTTTTTTTTTTTTTTTTTTTGCTAAACGTTGATCTAAATAAAATTCTTCTTTTATTGTACTTTATAGTACAAAATGAATAATTTTTTTTTTATGTCCGAAATATTTCAAGCATTGCTTCAGACCTTTTCAAAACTATTTCTCACATATTTCTTCTGTCTCAAATATAATAATGATTGTTATGCTGTTTCTGTAAGAAATTTGCTTAAGTAATAAGTTTCTTTTCTCTGTTTAATCTAACAAAAAAGAAAGTACAAAAAAAAAAGTATTAAAATATTGGATATGATCTAAGATTTCAAAAACTATGAAATTAAGAATTTAAATAACCTTTAACATTTCCAGTTACAATCCTTTCAATTGAAGGATCAATTGAAAAGTCAATCTCGCTTTCTTTTTTGTTTAACAAAGCTTTTAACAGAAAATTATTGAATCATTTACAGTCACATAACCATTTGGTTTGATTTACTTTTCACATTCCATTTCCACCATTTCCACCTCTCATACTCTTGAATTACTGCAATTCATTCAAAAAAGCTAATTTTGTATATCTTAGAAAGTTATCGATTCATTTCCAGCAACTATGGGCTATCACTTATTTGAGAATATAATTTTTGTAATTTCATAAATTGGACACATTTCCGACCTTTTACCATTAAATTTATCTTTAAAATCTGGAATAAAAAATGAGGAAAACCATTTGAAAATGTTTCAAACTTTTTCCTTGGAGATGTTCCAAACTTTAACAACTTTAATGAAATCCGCAAACATAGAGAACTTTTTTAATCCTAATTTTCACCTGATATTTAAAATTTTATGGTTTGTGAACTGGTATGTATTTATCACAACGCTCGCTGGACGAGTCAAAATCTATTAATTGATGCTAATTACTGTTAATATTCGAATGAAAAGTAGAATAAAGGTTGAACATATTTATTGATGAAGAGAAAACGTACAGGCAGTGAAACTTAAAATCTTCGCAAGTTAGATTAATCTCTGTCTGCTTACAACATTTTTAACTTTTTTGTTTTCCTTTTATTGGAATGAATATTGGAATGACCACCACGTATTGTTTCCGTAGTTTCATCATCTATTTCATGATTAATCCTGCAATAATCACAGTAAAAAACTATGATTTAATTAGTATTACTTAATCGCATTGTTAATCTGAAGAAGTGTTACGATATTTTACTGTGCAAATAACTGCAAGGAAATGAACTTTAAGATGCAATAGGCGTAAGTCACCATTTTAAGTAAGATTTTAAAAATATATGCTTAATTCAACAATAACAAGCTCAAAAAACATATGCCTAACTAAATAATAAACTTGTCAACAATTATAAAACAACTAATATGTTGAATTATTCTTAATTATAATTATTGGGACATGAGATATTAGCGTATTGTTAAAAGCTTTTATGTATTAAGCTTTTCTGTTTTTTTTTTTTCTTTCCTTTTTTTTCTTTTTTCAGAATCCTCATAATAAAAATGAAATTTATGAGTATGAAGTTGGTTCGCAAACAGCAATGCCTTCCCATTTAGTCAGATGATTTCGAAAACAAACTCGCATACGCACTGACGTTAACCCATTCCAGTTCCTCATCAAAACAAGCTATCAAAGTTGGACTTCATCAATCTTCAAATTTTAAAAGCGAAGGCTTCAAAACTCACTGAATACCACACGATTTAATATGAATTAAAAAAACAAAAAAAAACAACAATGAATTCTCATTTAGTGAAAAATATAAAATGGAACAGCTCAAAACTAGTATTTGCCACTTAAATAAAAATTCTTACTCCAACAATAAAGAAATTAATCCTTAAATGACATCAAAACAATGATGAACATAAATTAAATACCCGTCTTGAAATGCAGTGCTATGATACATTAACATAAAATTAGATAAATGTCAAGCATTACTCTATATATAAACAAGTCAAATACATCTCGCAAAATAAATCTGTCTATGGGACAAGCACTTCCCTCACTTTTTACAAATGTCTTCTAATTATTTTGATTCATTAACAACCACGCGTCATTATAAGTTTCAGAAAAATGTTGGACCAGGATATTTCTTATAAAGCAATTATGATTTATTTCGAGTAAGAAAAATCAGCTAGAAGTGGCTATTTCCATGAAGATATTCGTCATATTATTTCTATCTGAAAATATTGTTACTCAGAGGAGGAAAACTGAGAAAATGTTATATATTTACGAAATGGATTCCGAGAGGGTAAGTTTTAATAACTTTTTTTCAGCCCAGTGTAATAATTCGATGCTACTAAAGAACACGACCAATCTTTTCCCACTATCTTCATTCGTCAGAAACAAAAATGGATCGAACAAAAAAACCTACTTCTTCTTTTTTTGTAAATATGCGTCATAACGCGTATACGCAAAACTGAGCATTTGTCGACAACGTGCAATCTGAAAACAAAACAGCTAAAAAATACGGTAAATTGCAACGAAGATATCAGTTAGTTATCCAGCACTCTAAATAAATACAATAACTGCATTTTGCATAAAATAAATGAAGTGTAATTCGAAAGTTTGTAATTAGCCAAATTTAAAAGATAAAACGAATGAAACAAAGATTTTAAAATACAATAAGCATTTGTAAGAATTGTACAATCGTTTGGTTGTTTTGAAACTATTAGCTTAAATTTTCTGAAACGAATATTATAAAATTTTCAGTTTAAAACGAAGTACTACTTGAGATCCAATTGTATTATAATATTTGTTACCATTTAGGAGTCGTCTTATTTAATTAACTTTGCATAACTTAATTTATTAATATCCCTGCATTACATGATAACCATAGAATTATCCCATACTACAAAAAAAAAAACACTACAGCTTATTAAAACAATATTGAAATAAAAAGAATTAATACCTCCTTTTATTATTCTAAGAACGGTAGTGTGTTTACATTTTTTAATGTTTTGCGGGGATTTTATTAATGATTAAATTACTATAGTTTACTGAATAAATTGTCTCCAATATACAACTAGAACAGTTAATTCGAAAAAATACGGACGTCGGCAAAATGGGCCTTTCAAATGGATTTCTGAGCCAATACAGTCAACTACCATAATGCAAAAGAGATTAATGCATTTAGTTCGAGAAGTTTCGTAAGGTACAATTTATCTGGATATAGCCAAGCATTTATCTTCAAGAGAAAATTTACAATGTCACTGCTTGAATATATTGAGAAAAAACTCTAATTTGAAAAACAAATCATTAGTGAGTACGTAGTCGTATATCTCTAAAATTTCACTAATGAATTTTGATATTAAAAATCATAGTTCGCTCACATTTTTTTCACCGAACCGCTCCTCAGCTGAAGCAATTTTATTTTCTTCAAAATTCCGCAAAGTTACATTCATTCGTTTTAACTGAAAACATATTCAAACACTAATAAAATAATGGTTTCTGACTATGACAAGTAAATACTTCAAAAAGTGAACGGAAACAATCCTGCAAAATAAGATAACTTTTTCATCCATATCAGGATTCGTCGGTGGAAAGCACATCCAAAAATGCTTCAGTAGCTCAGCAACAGAATCATGGATTGCTTGTAAGTCAACTAAATCTGTTGCGGTCAATTCTGTAATGTTTTTAGCTGGTGTTTCTGTAACAACACTGGCCATTCTTAAGAGATCTTCATAGTCACTATCCGAATCGTCCTTCAAATCCTGCAATCATTTTCTGCAAATGAAAACTAAACTGAAAAAGACTAATGAAAAAGTATGAAATCAACGCCTTCAATAAATACGAAAAAATCAGAATATCAACAATTAGAAATTTTTGTTTTTCTGAATAGCTCCAAACCGATTTTTACAACTTACGTCATCATAATCCTCATCCTCTGGCATAGTTTCGCATACCCTTAACACAACATCTCGATAAGCCTGTGCCTGTTCATTGGTATAAAGTTTTGTTGGCTTGATTGCACCACTCACTGCGAATGAAATAAGATCTAACTCTTCCTCATGTTTGTCTGTCCTCAACTCCTCACTTTCTAATACTATTTCATTATCATCCTCGTCTCCAGATTTCGATTTACTCGTCTAAATAGAAGATTTAAAAGAGGATGGAAGTCAAAGAAACTTTATATCATTCGGATTGACAGTGATTAAGTAACGCTGAAGCGCTCAGTACATTTCAGTTTACGACGATCAAACGATTTAAATCAGTTGGTTGTTGGAATCTCAATTATCCATTTCGGTAAAAAAACAGAATCGCACAACTGCATAATGATCAGAGCAACTGGGCTTTACCAGATAATTAAACAATATACTACTCTCAAAACTCGAAATGGTTTGAATCAATTCTTGAAAAACCATTTCTCTCATTCTTAAAAGAAATCATACTTCCGTCATACATTCTTCACTCGTTTGTCCTTCCAAATCGGCAACAGTTGGTACTTCATTTTCGGCAGTGGTAAGTAGAACCCGCTCGGAATGATAATTGAACCTTTTCATTAAAATATCTTTTTGTGATGAAACATGCTGCGATAACGATGATATACTGTTCTAAAAGTTTAGTTTATGCAAAACATAAAAAAATTTTATTAAGAGATGTTTGAATATTTGTGGCAGTGAGAACTGAAAACCATAACCTACAATTAAAGAATCATCGTGGATGTACGAAAAATCGAGAGTTTTATGAGCAATCTTCGTATCCAGTAGTTTACGCATTTCTGGAATAATTCAACATGGATGAATCATTTCTATAATGAAATGGACAACGTAGAGGGCAAAAATTTTCTTGATAATTTCGACATTTTAGACCTCTGATAATTGCCAATCATAAAGTGAGCATAATAAATAAATACCAAATATTACCTGCATTATCAGCTTTAATACAATCCGCAAATGGATCGGACTGACTAGAAGCTACCTCACGTTCACGATGAAAGTAATGCGATTGAAAAAATCTGGCCCAAAATTCTTGCTCTGTCATTTCGTGTGGTACTAGTTCTAGATGCTTCCTTTCTACTGAAATAGAAATAGAATATGAATTACTTGCTTCATTAAAAACAGATGAAATTAAATACTTAATAGAGCTAGAAAAACCTGCAGGGTAAGTTCGGAATATACTCTGGATTGTATCGATATTGAGATTTAACTTGACTCCATTCGTGCCTTCAGACTGTGCAATGCTGCTCAGAAAGCCACTTGAAACACCCAATTTGCCGCCGTCTACATCCTTCTGAAATAAGCATAGCTTGGAGGATGGTAATCCATTCACCAAATTATAATAAATGAATAGCTATTGAAAAGTCCATTTCTTTTCTAAGAATAACAAATTTTGAGATGGCTATGTTTTAAGAATAGGATTTTTTTCAATGTAGATTTAGTACAAGAATATAATGGTAAATTTATATATTCAATGCAAGAAGGTAAGTTAAATTTGACAAAGCTAATTAAATTAGACGGGTCACAAATGGAAACACAACAACATAACGACAGAATTTGACTTTTAGTAAAATTTCGTTCCAAACTAACGTTTTGATAATATTCGCTCCAAAAATCTTGAGCAGAGATCAGTTTCGACGCAACCAAATGCTTGTATATTTCTTGCAAATGTTTGTTGCGTTCTAAAATCTTCTTCTTTGCTTCTAGCTCTTTCGTTTTATTGTACTTTAACGATTGTGTAACATTCTAAAAGTAAATATGATGAGCATCGAGTTAATCAGTCAAAAAGTTTCCGGCTGTTGTTTAATCGGATATTAGGAATTTCTAAAGGAAAGTCTATGAATTAAAGTAAACCACAGCATATTTACCTGACTAACAATTTGTCTATGATGTATAAGAGCCTGTTGCAACATTTCTTTTACCAAATCGCGATCTTTAACATGCATCTGAAGAATACATGATACTCTTCTCACATGTAATATGGAAAACCCTCATACAAAAAAGTCTCATGAATCTGACGGATTAAACAAACAACTAATAGACTAATAACGTGCTGATGAATACATTTTAGAGAGACAGAATCATGAAACCATAGATGTTCATGCACAGTAGCTGTTAATTCGAATTCCAAGTCTACCATGAATAATAACAAATCAAAACTTGCTTCCTTCCCAAGTGGATTAACGAAAACAAATGTTGCTTGTTCTTCATTATGCTTACATATCTGGAGCTGTGTTTTTGTTTTATTTGGTGGCGATATTCGCTGTCCTGGAATCCAGAAAGCATTTCGTAAACAGTGAAAAGGATGAAATACTGAGGTGTTGATAAATAACAAGGAAAATGCATAGTCTGCATAAAAAAGCATACCTTGTATTTCAAATTCAATTTCGAAAACTTCCAGAACAAAATTACGTTCTTTGCTTAAGTAAAAAAGGGAAAACTAAAGAAAAAACACTAAAATTTTTAATCCTTTAAAGTAGGAAATTATTTAAATCCCGTAACTTATTCCTTCTGACTTGGTCTATCAGCTAACTTTCTTAGCTATTCGAAGTACTTCAATAACGCATCTCCAGTGAAATTCCTACCTCTAATATCGCTGAAAAGGACGACAAGTTTTTCATCCGAAGCGTTATCCAACCATTCAACCCGATCTTCATAAACATAAAAGGTACCAATAGGTGATTTAGAAGCACCTGGCATACGATATTTCACATGTTCGACACGCAACAGTAAATCTTTGTTAGACATGGCTGATATCCTGTCTGATATCCTGAAATCATTGCACAATGAAATTCCCACAAGTTTATAAGAGTATGATTTTTACGAACGTAACAAAATACATAGCGCATGATATAGTGAATAACATGTTTAAAAAATATGAGTGCAAGTTTGAGCAGAAAATACTTACGTACGTAGGAAGAATTGAAGATCTGGAATTAACCAAGAGAAACACCACGAAATAAAAGGCAGCAGAGGAATACTGTAAGAAGGAAGTTGATAGACATCAAGGAAGTACAAAGAATCACGGATTAATAGAAAACCAAAACAATTAAATTGTAAAAGTGGCGAAAAAAAAAAATACTACAAGGGAAGCAACTCAAAAAGAGAGAGAGGAAACGAGAGTGAGAGTAAAAGATCGGATAAAAAAGACTGTGAAACAAACAGGACACAGCATGACAAAGTATGCGAAATAATACGCTACCAGACATCAAGAGACACGCTGAAATATCGCAATGACAATGATTCTTTGCAGCATTGGGACGCTGTGAAAAATTTAACCTCCCAGTTCACTGTTTTCACACCAAAATTCAAATTAATTTCTCATTGTGGCAATTATTTGGTAACATTTCAAGTTTTACCCATGATAAATTAAGATGGATTAACTTGATTTCCATTTTGTATATTTACACAGACTGAGAATGGTCGTTTTATTTGCTTAATTCGTTGGTATTTCATCACTTAAATTAATTGTTGGGAAATTAATTGGCAGATCGAAATTGGCAATTTTTCCAGAGCTTGTTGTTTAATATTGATTCTTCGAAATATTTAATTTGTTTTTCTATTTGGCACATTCAAAATTTAACTTGTGTATGGGATGCTAGATTAGACCATGGTTACGATTAATAAATTTTAGTTATAATTTCTAATTTAAAGAAAAAAAAAACCGTACTCCAAAAAGTCGAAATTTCTACATATCATAAGAATAATTTTTAAAAAAGATATTTTAATAAGCAATCTAATTCACAAACTTTATTGAAGATAGAAGGACGATAACTGTCGACAGATCCTGTTGATTCTCTTTTACATTGAAAGGTATCAATACAATTTATTCCTTTAAAAGTATTCACCAGTCATACATCTTTTTCAGGATTTTTTTAAAATTTCAAATTAATATTTTAATCTACATCTTTTCTTTCCCATCTAGTTTAATTCCCTGTTATTTTATCACTGAAATTAAAAACAAGAGTTATGAGTAAAAAAAGTAATTATTTGTGAATAATAAGGCTTGGTTTAGTTGCTTCATATCTTCCATTCCATTAAAAAAAGTTCATTTGATGTTTGAAAAGGAAAAAAGATCATAAATTAATTTAAACGAAGTTTCGTTAAAAATCTTTATGGTCAATCGTTTTTTTTTTCTCTTATTATTTCCTTCTTTTTTTTTTTTTTTGAAATATTAATAACTGTTAAAGTTAGCTTTACATTTCTAGAATTCCAGGTTTTTGACAAAAGAGAGAAGATTCAAACAAATAATGTCTTCCAGAAAACAAAAAACTAAAAGAGCTCATAAGCTATCCGATGAATCCAATAAGAACGCATTTGTTAAGGATACAATATTCTCAGCTCACTGTCTTGTATAAATCTTAAATGTTTAATAATATCACATATTCATTAAAAGATTTTTGCGTGATCTCTTTGTTGTGCTTCTTTACATACGTAACATTATCACATCGTTTGATCAATGTATGACATGGGATGCCATTAACCTTTTTTTTTTATTAGCTTCTATCACTGATTAATTATGAGTGCTTAGACTTGTTGATAAAACTAATAGAAGTTAAATAGAAGTTCTAATTAATATGAGGAGATTTGAAATAGAGGAGAAAATATTAATCATTAAAACTAATTCTGGATAATAATTTTCCGTAAAGCTTGGAATGATAATTGGAAACAAATAGAAGCGCTATCAAAAAAAAAAAAACCATTTGTCCAAGAAAAAAGAGGAAAACTACCTTTAATTTTTGTTGCATACTACTGGCTTATTTAATTGTCGTACAGGTGGAAAATTCAGCAGATAACATTGAGGCAATGATAAAACTGCTTAAATGTAATCAAATATCAGCAATAGATATCAACATATATAGCAATAGATATTAATCAAATATAAACAGCAATAGAAATGGGTGCATCTGAGCAAATGTTATACTATTTTCCATTATTTGCCATTAAGTCAGGAAATACCATTCATGTTTGATTTACATTCTTCTTTTTTTTTAACTTCTTCTTTTAATTTATTAATAAGTTTTGCGATAATTTTCAGTCTATGGAGTATATTTTTGCCTACCAGCCTGCATTCATATCATTATCATAAATTCTTTTACAACATTTTTAATAATTAATTAAGATTTGCTTGAAATTAACTGATATACAATTTGACTCATTAATTTGACACCGAGTATTAATGTTACATCGTAAATTTTTGACATTATTTTATTCTGTAGCTTTCAGATAATGTACTTCTTATATGGAAAACATAGCAGAATCTGAATGAAGAGACCTTGAATGATCTCGAACAGTCCATGCATATCGTATTTATCTCTTCAAATCTCTTCAAAAATGAGACTATTTTCTTTTTCTTCATGGAATTAAAAATTTGACTTCATATTAGGCCTCTAAATTTCAAAACAAAAAGAAGTAATTTTATTACTTTGTTTTGTTTTGAAATACCGGGAACGGAATAAAACAATGCAGGGATTAAAAATACTATTCAAAATCAATTTACTTTGATATTGCTCAAATAGATTTTTTTCAGCTATAGAAAAAAATAAGAAATTATCGGAAAGACAAATTCATCATCAAAAGATAGCAGTGAATATTCCCTTTTCTTTTTTTTTTTGAATAGAAATTTAATTTTTCAAAAAAAAAAAATTGCAGTTTTGAATTTTGAATTTAAATTCTCTTAATTTTTCGATTTCATTCTCAAGAATGATATAAAAGAACTCTAGAAAATTTAGGGCGATAAATCGAAATTATATCAGTGTCGGTCGTTCTCGTTATTTCAGGTTGAACAGTCGAAAGATTGTGAGTTCCTTAATACTATTTCTTATAAAAGGTGTGTTCCTTTCAAACTTTTTTCTTCTCCCAAAATTACAGAAAATTTTGAGTTTAATTTCAGATTTTGCTGTTTGATCATATCTTAGGAATTCATTAACAATGGATTCGCACAGAAAATTAATGGTTTGTTCTTAAAAACCAATTTAAAAGATCATTTATGCGTTTTTTAAAAAACAGTGAATAGGATTTTTTTATCATATTTGTATTATTGAAGTGTGCATTTGTTTTTCTTTACTTTGAAATTTGGAGTAGTAATTTCTTTGGAATAACTTAAATACTTCTGTAAAAATCAATAGAATTACTTCTGTAAAAATCAATAGAATTATAACTATGTTCTAGAAAAATGACGTAAAATAATTAGTTATATACAATGAAAATTGCTTCTATCATTATTTTCATTCTCGTAAAAAATGATTTGTTGTCGCCGACACTTGAAATGCTGTGAATAGTTAATGAGTTAATAAGCAATCCCAATACTGTTTTCAATAACATATGATGCAAATTTTATGAGAATTTTTAATTTATACGACAAATTCAGTTGAATGCAGAATTTAATTAGCCGATTTTGTTTCTTATCTGTCTTTTTCAACCCAGTAGATAATTAATTAATTGACTATCCATCCATTCATATAATTGCGAGTCATTGAAGGCTAAGCAACAAAATGCATTGCCAAAACTGCCGAAAATCACCGACGCAAAAGAAAGTATATTGTCGAATATGAAAGGTAAAATGGAAAGAGCAAGTGTATTCCTTGTTAATCTATGTAGAAGCATTTAAATAATTTTTCTTGGCATTATTAGTATAACAAATCTATTCCAGAATAAATAATAAGTAATTATAAGATAATAAGTATTTATAATAATAAGTAATTATAAGGCTAAAAAAATTTGTGCATTTTTTGAGTTGATCTCTCGTTTGCTCTACATTGATGCAATTAATAACTTTTTTTTTCACACTCCATCTGTCATTATCCAGTTGATTACAAATAAGTTATTACTTATCTAACTGTTAACTTCATCAAAATTTACAAATAAAATTCTCATATCTTACTGATAATTACCGTAATTTATAACTAGAAACAGTTTTATAAAGAATGGCTTATTCTACGATTTAAAGCTGTACAAGTAAATAATTTAGTTAATAATGAAAATGAGGTGTATTTTCTGCAGAGCCCATACGAGTTCACACAGTGATGCGCGTGAATCAAACACGTAAAGGTGAAAGATATTTGGAACACAAAATTGAGCTCCTGGGGAATGATAGAAAAATTCAAAAACGTGACCTTACGTTACTGCAACCAAAAAGAATGCATTTGCAGCCAGCTGAAGTGAGTTAGTGGTTGATTTATTTAATTGAAGTTGACATGAAGAAATATTTATTTCAAATAATTATTTTTTTTAAATTACAACACTGAGGGTGATTGCTGGGTGCATAAATAAAATGAAGTAAAAGAAGGTAAGCAAATAAATGAAAACAAATTTGTATTGAATATTTTAAGTAAATGGAATAAGCTTATTTTGAATCTCATATAATAAAGTTTTATCAAATAAAACTTTTTAGTTAAGTAATCAATTATTCTATGATGAGAAATAGAAACATTTAACATTAAAGTTTAACATTATGTCAAATATTTTGAAGAGTGATAAAAAATATCATCGACCAAAATGTAAGTTAACTTTATATGCTTGTGATGGATATTTACTCCTGACTAGAATGATGAAGATTACACCGGAAGATAAAAATATCGCTATGAACATTATGCACGAAGAAACTCGAATTTATGATAGTGATAATGTTAATGTCAGTAGCGGTATTTTGTATTTTATTATTTAAAATTGTTTTTCCTTTTTTAAAAGAAAAAAAACAGTTTTTACATAAAATAGTTTGTTTATATCCTTCACTTCTGCAGATTTCCAAAAATGCTGCTTAGAAGAGACAGTAAGATTTGAATGCATTTAGATAAATGAACAGAAGAATGTGCTTTTAATATTTTTAATGAAATGTAAATGAGCACAAGATTTGGACCATCGCAAAATTGCAGATTGAATAAAGAAAATTGATCTCATTTTAGTATTTTTTTTTTAGTAATTTATTATAAAATATCGTTAGCTTTGGTACCGGAAGCTACCAGTACTATGAGAAAGACAAGGAAAACAAAAGCAATCCAGAAATTTTGTCATTCAACTTGCAAAATGGTATAATAGGACAATACTAACAAAAGACGCGATTATAAAATGATTGATTTGATGGAATTAAAATGCAGGGAAAGTAGCAAAGAGCCAAATAAAGGAAGTCTTTTCAGACGCAGATGAAAACATTATAAAATTATTAATAAAATCCCTTACTGTTTCTTGCCTTACCGCAATGCTTTCTGCTCTCACTCCATTTATACTTACTTTATTTCTCTTGACTTTTCAAAACTTGGACATTTCTAATTTGATTTTAGCTTTAACTCTTAAAAGAGAAATGATACATATCGATGAATGAGAAGGCGAAAAATTATTTCTATTCAAACTATTTCGTATATGCAAAATTACCGTAAAATGACTATAATGAAAATGCAGCATAGCATTACTGGAAATATATACTTATCATATATTAATTGCAACCTCTAATGGTCACCACAACAAAAAAGACATGAAATCAGCTGAAACTAAAACTTGCGACTTCAAACAATTAGTTGGTTATGGTGAAGGATTATTAACCATTGAAACCATTTTGGATTTATTAGCAGTGACGAAATTAAAGGTTTTAGTTATAGCCTAATTCTAGAATTTTAAATGAACTATAATATGTATGATAACTCATTATGTATTCTTCAGAAATTATACATATTAAATTCAGGAAGATTCTACTTTTCTATATAAATATTTACAATTATAAATGAGGACATAAAAAAAATTCAGAATGTTTAAATTTCTCTATTTTTCTGGACAAATCATACGCATGGCATGAAATGCGAGATTATAGCACTGATATTTGTGAAAGCTATCCAGGATCTTTATTTTCCAGGTTAAACTTTTCAATTCCAAAATGATGTCATATCAAAAGTGTCTAACTCATGAAATTTTTTCTAGCTAATCTTCTCATCGATATGACCCCAGCTAGTTTATTGTTTAAAATGCTCATGAGTAAAGCTATGATATATTTATCAAATTTTTAAAAAATTTTTTCAAATTCTGGTCAGTGATGGTATGCTATTTTAATGGAAGAAAGCACTTAAATTCATAGTTTCACATCTAAATTCATCGAAGGAAAGCAATTGTAGTGCAACTTATATATAAGTACTTTTAATTGTCAAATTATGTAGATTTTTGTCATCACCCATCTCTTTACCTTCACGTATAAGAAATGACGAAATTGAGTAATTAAACCGAATTTGGTGAAATGTCCATATTTAATTTTCTTACATCTAAATTTTTAGTTATTTTCCACCATCATGGAAGCTACCAGAACAGTTAAAAGTCACAGCACCACAACAAGCAAATTTGAAAAGCGATAAGCGAAATGATAATTCCCCTCCAGAATCCGGTTAGAGATGTTTGTTCGCATAAATCTACTGCATTTTAAGATCTGAGAACTGTTTAGTAATAGAAAAACAATAGTCAGATCTGGATTTAAAGGTATATTATAATGAGACGACGATGTTGGCATTAACAACATACTAATAATTTTGAGGCTTGTATTATTAGAAAAAGCAATCTACGGAAGCAGTTTTTATCTTCCTTTCATTTTCATCATAATTTTATAAAGAAGCTGGTATAAAATACAGCTATTATTTTATAACAACTGCACACCGTTTTTGTTGCTATCCTATTTCATTCACCAAATTTGTGCTTGTAGAAATCAAATGATGTGACAAAAATAATTGTTTTGTAATGTGATTTTGTTTTTCTATGAATTTTATGAGTTCTAAATTTCAAACCTTAAAATCTCATTTGATATCTCATTAATTTGCAGGATTAAGTTACACATCAATTGGTGGTGGTAGCGAATTAGATGGTAAGTATTCCACGAAATTGTAATAACATCAAAAAAGCTATCACTAACGATATTATTCTGAATGATATTGCAGATCATTCACCATATCCGCCTGTGAACCATGATTCCAGGTTGCTTCTTTTCTGTTTTAATTTACATTTCTTTTGAATGTGTTATTAACTTAGTATTCAGAGTAATCAAGCAACACATACGAAATTGATTTTGTTTTAGCTCAGATAAAGGCATTCATGAAAGTAATCCACCCACTGGTGTTTGTAAAGCTTCACTAGTAAACATTGCTGCTTCACCTAAAAATGGTATTTTTGTATCAATTGTACAAATCATTCTAGAATCGCTCTTTAATTCTGTAAGAAATAAGTGCTTTTAAACACTTTTTACTCTTAGAAAGCCCTCCAACAAGTGCTTCAATTTATAGCGTAATTTCTGCTTCATGATTATCAGGACTGCTATATTTTCATTCTGCTTATTTTACCCCTTTGAAATTCTATTCTTATTTTATCCTTTTGTTTCGTAATTGCTATTTACATAAAGTTTTTCTTTCTACCGAATGTTTTTTTTTTCTTGATCTCTGAAATCACCAATTATTTCAAAAGAGACCTTATTTGTTAGGTTTGTTGCGCTCACATGAATATCCGAATGACATCTGCTGCCTCCAGCCAACATCTGGAGCAAGCTACCACCAAAATTGCCAGAAATCATGTCCTTTTTATAAAGATATATGATTGCAAAATACTATATGTTGTTTAATTTAATTATGGGTCAAAAGGAATGTGTATCTTTTTTGAAATCAAATGAAGATAAGGAAAAGTTACGAAAGTTATGGCAAATAACAAATATTAGAGGAATGTATAAGTGTTTTTCAAGAAATTTTTTAAGCAAGATTTTCAATTTTACCTCAGAAGGTTTCAATAAGTTCGAACATTCTAAGTCAAAATTTAAAACTAAATTTGATAAGTTATATTTTAGGACACTGAAAAAAACAGGGCCAGAGCCACTTAAAATCATTTGAATCTCTAAGGTGTATTTTTCATACATCAGATGAAAGTACCCAATTAGATTTTAGCACAGAGATGATTTCGCCAAAGGCACTGCCAGTGAGTTTTACGGAATAATGAATTCTTTGAAATGTTATGTGCACATGACAATATAAAATGTAATGATTGGTAATGTGAACTGATGGCTAGTTTTTCTTTTTGCTAAAAAGATTATTTGTGCATCAATAATTAGCTTTCATCACTTTTTTTCTTTGTTCTCTTATATTTTGCAGATGGCCAATGAAGAATCTGGAAATGATACAAATAAAATTACCATTTTCTTATCCACAAACATGGATTAAATGTAGTTTATATCATTTAATAACTTTTTTCTAAGCGTCTGTTTCATTGCTGCGAATCATTGACAACTTCTGGCACACAAAAATTGTCTCATCTAAACTCGTGCTTGCTTATTTTATTCTTGAGTGAATTTTTGAGAAAGTGCAATTTATCTGATGGACATTTATTAATGATAGACATGCTGAAACCATTTGATATTAGCAATTCATATCATTTGCAGGTGGCAGTAACAGCTGATATTAGCATGAAGCTTATCAATGAAGATGGGTCAAAAAAATGAATTAAATGCATTAAAAAGCAAAAAATTTGTTTTGATAACCAAGTTTTTTATGAAAATTGACTTTTTGCAAATTTTCAAATTTTGTATTTTTTCTAACAATCAAGAAAAAAAAAAAGCAGAAAACAGCATTAATACAGTAGCATTAATCAACTAAACTGTCAAACACTACTGGAAGCGGAAATGACAAGAAAGTGACTGTTATGATCCCATTTACCAAAAATCAATAGAATTTTTAAAGGTTTCAATGAAATCAAATTTGATTAAATCAACAATTCATTTCAAATCCTGTCACATTAACAATATACCATTTCTATGTAATCATTGTTTCGTTCAACTCATTGATCAGATTGCTGTAGAATTGAGTCAGATTAAAATTCATAATATTCATAGATACTCATTATCAATGCAACGGGTACTGATTGATGTATGTATGGTAATATTTGCATTTATTTATATTGATTATAGAAAATGACACTTTGCAGACTCTCCGATTGCTATTAATCATCCACACTCATTCTGTTATTTTCTTCCTTGTCACATTCAAATGCTCTTTTTGTTTCCATTTTGCTGCTGTATTTACTTACCAGATTAATTAAATTTTGTATGTAGTTCTTAGATGAATTATGGGAATTTTGAGACGTCGTTGTCAGTTAAAAACTTCAACCATCTCTCATATTGTTTGTTAGCGGTATGGAGAGATGTTCAAAGGAAGAAAGTAATTCGAATTACAGCTAACTTTATAAATAAATTGGTTCGATGGTACTCTAGAATAGATGTATGTCGTCCTGCAAACTATTCAGAAATAAAGACTTTTTTTGTTTTATTTCAAGAAAACTAGAAAAATTCTTGTCCATATCTGTCTCTCGATGCTGCTACAAACACCTGTCGTTTTAAAATTTCTACTGGTGAAGGAAATTGGTGAAAATTTCTTTCGCCCGCCGAAATTTTGCAGACAACTTTTAGAAAATTATGGTTTTACGTCATATGCTTTGCTTTATCATTTTCTTATTAGAACTAACATTTCATCTTTGCTGTTTTGTTTTTTTCTAATTTAATGCAAATTTTATTGAAGTGAGTATTTTCTGATTCCTAAATTAAATTTTTTTCCGAAAAAAAAAGATCATTTTCATCCAAATATAGTTTATAAATGGCTTCATCCCAAAATTTCTTTATTTTATGTTTGTTACTACTAGTAGTGTTCCTAGAATTTATGGTAATTATATCATTGGGTCAAATAGATAGAATTAGCACCTGACCAAGCTGATATATGCGATGAAGTGTATTTCTCTATACAACAATGACATATCTAATGGTTTGCTTATGCCTGCCTGTTTCTATCCATCTGTGGCTCAATTCAAATTTGCGGCCATAATCATGACTAAATTGCATCTTTTATACCCGTTACTTCTGCACAATATTTATTTCAAGTCAATCTTTTGCAAATTGCATTTTTACTATCATAAATTCTATGGACCCTTTTATTTGCATCATTTGCATGGTATGTTTACAGCGATATCAAAGAATAATCATATATGATTGCTAATTGAGAATTTCGTTGACATCAATTAACTTCGCCGACTTTATCTTTCCATTTCTTTTTCAATAAGGAAGTAACTATGTGCATGATAAATTTGTAATATATATCAACAATAAATTATTTATGAATACTATTATAAAATTTTGAATGAAAACGTTAACGTCCACTTTACAAATTTTGGTAGCTACTGAAAATTAGAAATTTTGATAATTGTTCACAAAGAGCACTTTACAAAATAAGAGTTATTCATTTAGAGAAACTATCTTTCCATCCAATTTATTATTCTCTTTTCCTTCTCCTTTTCGTATTTGTTTATTTCTTGATGTAGACGAAAAACTTTCATAAACCGATTAATCATGCCATTTGTATTGATATTTGAAGTTTTATAATCAAACAAGAATTCTACACTGCTGCTTATTAAGTTTAAACTGCTTTCATAAGTAGCTTTTTAATACTAAAATGACTGTGGAAATTTTTGCCAACTTTCAGCAGTTCTTGCTTGCTTATTCGAAATTATGCGATTTTGAAACTCTTCATATTTCTGCTCACTTTGTAAGGTAATCAGAAGTTGTTCCGATCGAGGAAATTTTCAACTTGGACCTAAACTAAATTTCATCCCAACCTGATATTCCAAGTTGTGCCGATGAATTCACAAAACTCAAATATGAAGCTATTTTTAATTTTGGTGGTTATTTAATTAGATAATAAACTAGTAGTTTTCGGGTAGTTAATTAAATTTGATGCAACAAGAAAAAGTTCAATAACATACATGGTTGAAGGAATGACTCTTGAATAGTGCACTGCTGTACTTGCACATCACCCATTGTAGTTATGATTGCGCTCCTCACCCTTCGGGAGAACACCTCTGAATTTGGGTCGTTTTGGCGGATGCTGCACTTCCACTTCTCTCCTAGCCACTTTCCGTTCCTACTCTGTTTGATCTTTTCGTATGGTTGTGATCTTATTTCCATCTTTACCTCCTGTTGTTCTTCCGCTCTACTGCACCATGCCGTTTCATTTTATGGAACTAAAAATATTCCAAGAGGATGATAACAAGAAAGAAGAGATAATATGATTTGATCGACTTTAGTGATAGGTCAAATTAGTTACGGGGATTTCCGCATTTCCGAATTTTCAAATATTCGCGACATTGATTTCATTCTTCTCATCCGGTTTGTGCATATTCTTTTGTTTGAGATGATCAAATTTCAATTTTCTCCAGTCTATCATGAGTTAAATTTCATTTTTTTTCAACTGTAATTTATCCTTTCTGCTGTAAATACTAAGCATATCACGTAGAACAAAGGAATAAATATCACACGAGTGAAGAATTATTGTATCTTTTATTATTTTTCAAAAATTATCAGGAAGGATGGGTGAAATCTAAATTATTCCCGTGAATAATTCAAAATACAATCCTTTATTTTTCTATTTGTGATTTGTTCTTTTTTTGTTCGAATTTTAATCCAATTAAAATATTCTACTTCTTAAATTAATGATATTGAATTATATTGTAATATTAATCTGAATTGAATGAATAATTTCGTAATCACAGATACTGAAAAATACTGAAATAAGTAAAGAAAACAAATTTAACAAAAAGTAGAAAAAGAGAACTTTCGTGGGTTTTTGTTCACAAATTGGTGTATTTCTGTTAGTTCTAAATTACTCAGCGCAAAAGCATCTTAGACTGATACCTTCTGCGCTTTTCTCTGCATTCAACTGCAGCAAGTACCGCCTAGCAACATCATTTCAGCATAACGCATCATCACTACAGACGACAACAAGACACAACGATTGTAAGGGTATCAGCAATACCCTTCGTAACAGTTTTTCGTATGTGTTCCCCTTAACTGTCTCTCTTTTTGCTTGCAAGTTTCCAACAGATCAATCCACTTATATTTGATTATATGAGTATTTAAAGTTAACCTTTTGATAAATAAACTACCCTTCAACTGTTCCGTCAGAAATTTCTGTCAGATTCATTGAGCAGTGAAAAGAAATATCTCGGAAGACCTTCATGCTTGAACTAATTTGAAATTAAAAAATTTTCAAATTCTTTTTAAAAATTTCTATAATTTCGACTTTAATTTATTTAAAGATGCTAGCATGCATATATATATATATAAGTCCTGAAGCTGAACTTTAAAACTCGAATTTGTTGGACTGATATTTCAAACATGATTTTTAAAAAGAACTTGCTTCACTTGACCTAAAATGGATTCTGTTTTTATTTACAAACTTTTCGCGACGTACATCACTCATCATTGTACACACAACAGAATTCATAGAAAAAAATTTTGCCCATACCTGTGCGTGCTGCAAATGAAATATAAAGTGAAGTTCGGTCCTTTAAATCATAACATTGTTTACCAAAATGAACATCAGCGGGAATTGATTTGTTTTCCATCAACGATTTGATTGTTAGTCATTTAATTGAGCATGGTAAGCAAAGGAATAAAAGTTAACAAGATTAATGTGCTTTCTATTTGAAAACTTTTCAAATAATTAATTTCATTTATAACATAATGATTAGCATTTTTTGAGGAAAACTTCAAGAATCTTGTAGAATTCTCGATGTGATAATCCAAGAAAATGAAATATTCTATGAGAGCGATATCAAGTCACTTTAGATGAACGTCTTTTTTAGATAGATTTGGTCGATTTTTATAGTTTATTTTTGTATTTCTATGTTCATATTTATGACAAGATATAAGTGACCGAATATATGAGTTTTCAGTATTTTGTAGAAAATATGCTTTTACATCCTTTTTTTTGCGGTGTAAAATATCTTTTTACACTAGGATTGTTGAGAAAAAAATAACAGTCATAGACAATATCACATTTGAATTGAATTAGTATTTTTTAATTTTACTATAGTAATAATGTCAGTATAATTTGTCAGTTGAGTAATGCAACATTTACCGTCAGTGATAAATCAAATTTTCGAGATTAGTTTTTAGTTGCTTGATGCGGAATGCTCTTCTCGCCATTTTCATATGCTTAATCTTGAAATCTTACACATATGTAGGATAACCAATGACTGCGATTTTTCATAATTTGTAACGAAAAAGAATTATATGCAACAGTTAACAAATTCATTTTCAGAGTGCTTCTTGACAGCAGTGGATGGGTGAAACTGAAAGACCGGTGCGGAAAAGCACACCTCCACCTCCATATAGCCCCGAAAGACCACCACCACCCTATTCGAAGATGATTAATGTAAGACTCGACGGTTTAAATGCAAACGAAATCAAAGCAAAAGAAGAAATGACTTGTAATGCGCTTCATCTTCCATGTACACCGTTTTCCAACGGATCCATTACCTCTGTTGTTCATCCACGGCTGGTTTCAGCTCCTATTAACACTTCAGAAGGTATCAATCCAGCTTCCGGTAAGTCGGTTCAAATTATGGAAATTTCAAAAATAACACAGATCTGTAAGATTGTTGAGAGATAATTAAAAAACTCATTTTCTTACTATAAATTTTAAAAGTGTTCCATTTTGAAAGGTGAAATTCTCATATTATACTTCTTTTGAATTTCAAGAAACTTAAACTTAAACTAGTTTAGCTTTTTGCAATATCATGTAATTGGTTAAGGCAAATTTAGTATGAATTCAATCACTTCACTGTAGTGTTGTTTGATTGATTTTCAAGGATAATTTATATATGAATATATAGAGAATATATTCCGAGACACGAGACTTTTTTTGTTGGGCAAGAAGAATTATGGAAGAGAATTTGATGCGGAGAGTTCACTAATAAATAAGAGAAATAGACATAATGCTTCAATTAAATCATTAGAATTTTATTGATGAAGTAAATTTTTTCAGGACCAAGTAGTGCAGCATTTGCGATCGCCAATTATACTGTTAAGAAGGCAATAACTGCGGAGCCACATGACGAATTTTGTCCCAGGTGTCAGGTATTGGCTTGAAAGAATTTTTATTTTTAGTACATTTAGACTAAATTCAAAGTTGATTAAATATCATTTTTTTAAATTTGCATTTCAAAACTAAGGAAACTAAAAACAATGTCAAGATGATATGATTCATTGTCCATAAGATAATCCTCTGAAAACACTGAGTTAACTTATATATCATTACCTTTAGCTGATAAACTGACAATTCAGAACTAAACCTGATACAGTTTAACTTCAATTTAGGAAATTTATTTTAAATTTTTAGAATTTTTTTCAAATTACTTTATATTGGTTTCTATTTCTTACTCTATTAAGTACAAATGATAACAGTTTCATTAGTGTTTGTTCAAAGCTATGAATTGTAAAGTTCAATTACAGTGCCGAATACGTACCAAGCAAAGCCATAAATCGGGTCGTCTCACATGGTTACTTGTATTTATTATCCTTATTTTATTTTTTCCAATAGCATTTGTACCATTTCTAATTGATTCCTGCAAAGATGTATGCCATTATTGTCCTAAATGTAATATGTTATTGTCCGTTAAGAAACGATTCTTCTTCTGATAGCTTTGCTGTTGCGAACCATACAAAAAGAAATTTCATTGTTCTTCAATTTCATTCGAAGATATTCCAAAAAAGTGCAGGAACTTTTTAATCAGCTTACTTTACGAAAGCTCATTATAAATTCTATCCAAATTTTAATCGTCTTTTTTTTTGTTTTTTTTTGGTAAGCCAGTGTTAATTTGTTTGAATTTTCTAGGTATTTGATAAAATGGTCTAAAAACTGGCTTTTCCATGTAAATATTTGTTTTTATTTTCATTTTACAAAAATATGCCTCAACTAGTTTGTATACGATGATGCCATATCTGTGTACATTTGTTTGCATGTGTCAATTTTTCTCATTACTTCCACCACTCAGTTCTCTTCCCCAATCACATCTTATCAATGAACTAATGCAGGTATCAACCATTAAATTATATAAAAACCTAAATCATAGAATTTTCTGCTACATTCTTTTCTATCATTTTTAAAGAAAAACAGTAGAGCTTATTTTGGTAAGAAATGGGATTTCTGACCTTCATTCCATCATTCTCCAAAGAACACTAGTTACAATAAAATTGTTAAATGCTATTAAAACAAATTTATTACGTGTGGGAGTAAAATGTAATATTAAAATGGAATGTAAAGATAAGTATTCAACACAATTATTATGACATAAAAACATAAAAGAATATCGAAAATTGCTTATTGACTGAAGCGACTGATATTTGGATTTCTGGAATTAGATTTTCCAAGAATTCAAAAAACTTAAGATTCTCAAAAACTATTCATTTCTCCATGGTATGCAACAAATATATAAATATAGAGCTGAAATCTGAATTTAAAAAATGGAGCAACTGCTAACATACGAAGTTACTATCACATCTGATTTGTCACCTTTTGTTGTTCATCAAATTGGTTTGATTATTCTCAATTTTTTGCTAAAAAAGTAGGTTTCGGAAAAATTCAGCATGACTTATTGTATAACAAATAAATAAATTATATGTAGAAAGTGTGAACAAAGATAAGGTAAAAAGCGAAATTGAAGATACACTTGCATTGAGCAAACTGTTCAGGAAAAATCCGTAAGAAATATTACAAGTTGCAGCGATATTTACACTATTCTATTGTAAGCAAGATTTGAATAATTTTTCCACTTGTTCACAACTTTCTTCGGGGAAATAGATTTTAGCAATTGGACAGTTCATATGAATCCATTCAATGGCGTCGTTGATATCGAACACTCTCACAAATTTTCGAATCACAGAACATTGTGTTGAGAGCACCAAATCTTCTTCAGCTTTCTGCAATGAAGTTATGGACAAACTCTCTAGCAAAAAGTGCAATAAAGAATATATAGGAATAACGATCAATAATTCATATCCAAAACATCAAAATATTGTTGGTCTACTGCTTCATTCCTTAGAAATAATCAAGAATTTTTTTCTCGAAAATAGATCAAAATAGTAGATTGTTGTGTACCGAAAATATGGATAATACGAAAGGAGTAGGAACTCCATTATATATGTGTTACCTATCTCTTATTAACTAATAGTAAAAATCCCTTAGAATGAATCAATAAATACTTGAAGGTTTTTTTGTAAATAGTAAACAACGAGTAACATCCCTCACTCAATCTTACCACTTCATATGACTAAAATTATCGATCCCTCTGATGGACTACAAATTTCAATGTTTTGCTTATAACCTGAAACTTCAAGTTTCAGACTATCGTCCAGCTAATTATAGCTATGATGACATGACTACTAAATCCTGAAAACATGATTACTAAATTTGTTACAGGGATTAGAGTCGCCAACGGACTGCCAAGGGCAGGTGTGATCATGTGATGTCTCATGTTGGCATTCATCATCCGCTCTTCTCGTTCAAGCTGTTCACGATGTTGCCTTTCATTTTCGATAAGTTGTTCCAATTTTTGAGCTATTTGATCCTGTCGTTCCAGTTGAGCCTTATCAGCAAAACCATGGTTAAGTTCTTGCTTCTTTCTCAGTTCCGCTTGTTCTTCACGTAGAAGACGTGCCTGAACAAATATGATTAACTTATTTGCTACATTAGCTTTCCAGATCTTTTCCCAAAACCTAAATAGCAATGAGAAAACAACCCACTTCTTCCAAACGAGCCTTTTCTTCCATTAGTCTGGTATACACCGTCCCATTAATTACTCTGTCTTCCTCCTCTTCCTTTTCTTTTTTCGATTTTACCTCTATTTCTCCCTGTTCATCACGTTTTCCATTTTCCATTCTCACAAGCGCCTCATGCATCTGTTCCTCCAACATCTTCCTTCGCATTTCCGAAGGATTGTTTGTTATTCTACAATTCTCACCATCAAAACAATTTTATATTTTTGAAAATTAATCTTAAAACTTCTTTTCATTGTTTTTTTTTTTTTTTTCATATCAGAATCTTTAAAAGTTGAAATTTCATAAAATTCTCCGATCCTGATGTATTTTACTCATCCGAAATGTGAATTTGTGGCTTCTAACAGAATGCATTTATATTCCTTCCAGAAAATAAAATTGACATGACAAACCGTCTCGATAACTTATGCAAAAATAGTTTTGTTTTTTAAATCTCTTTCATTTTATTTCCTTTTTTACTAGTTAGTGAGTGAAATGAAGCTTACAATTTTCGATTCCTGATTAAATTTTCTGTTTGCCTTAAAGCGGATTTTCGCCAACTGTTTTCGACGATCTTCTTACTTTCCACATTGATGTGACTGCTGAGTTCGCGGAATTTTAAACCTATCGTAGATTCAGTGCCATTCAAATTCATTTCGTTTTCCAATTTTCCATGATTTTTGGTACTATTATCAACGTCCAAACTAGCAGAAAGCAGCTTTTCCATTTCTTTTTCATTGTCCATAGGTTGAACAATATGTTCATGTCCATTTTTTCCTTTATCACTGCTAAATATGTTTGTAATATCCGCCTAAAAAAAATTTCAACATTTCAATTTCCATATCTTTGAAATGTTCTGATGATCACATCATTGTTTAAACTTCAGGCTGTTGAAATGAAAACTTTATGTATACAGAATTTTAGTTCCAACCAATCGTAACTGCATCAGAATTACCAATCATGTTCTCTTAGATAGAAAGTTTAAGTAAAATGATCAGCATTGCTAGCTTTTTCATATCTTTTAAATTTAAAGCAATTTTTTGCTGAAATTAATAAAGAAATATGAATTTCATTTTTTATTCTAAATTTTAGCAGATCTAGTGGAATAATCTCAAAAATTATAATTTACCTTTCGATTTTTGCGATTTCCTCGCCCCTGTCTACTTGCCATTTTCGCCCTTAACTGCGCTGCCTTTCTTATATTCCTTTCAAAATCTTGTAAATGCTTACGCAATAGTTCCAATGATTTCATTGCTTCCAGCCAACCTTGTTTAATTTCGTCAACTAGCTCAGTAACAGCACTTGTTTCTTCTATGCTCGAACTTGTAGCTTCAACCACAGAAACATTAGGTGTCGACGTCGAGAAACGAGTACGAATATAAATATCACTAGAATCCGTTTTGTTTGCAATATCAAGGCGTTTATCTTCGAATTTCACCTGTTTAGAAGCAATTTCAGATGATGAAAGTATTTCTTCTGTAGCATATCGGCTCTCTGTTTCATATGGAACCTCAGGCCTTCTCATTAGCACAGGCGAAGATGATGTTTCCAGCATCGAATGTGGTGTAACTGATATACCGAGACCAACATGCTTGGTGCGGGCTGGAGGCAATTTCTGGATTTCTTCGTCCATCACTGTCGTTTCTCCTCTTTCTAGGAGTTTCTTATATTCCAAGCCCTCTTCTTCAAGCTTTTCTTCATCGAGTTTTTCATGCGGTACCTCAGGTTTCTTAACCAGTACAGATGGCAAAGATGATGTTTCCAGCATCGAATGTGGTGTAACTGATATACCGAGACCAACATGCTTGGTGCGGGCTGGAGGCAATTTCTGGATTTCTTCGTCCATCACTGTCGTTTCTCCTCTTTCTAGGAGTTTCTTATATTCCAAGCCCTCTTCTTCAAGCTTTTCTTCATCGAGTTTTTCATGCGGTACTTCAGGTTTCTTAACCAGTACAGATGGCAAAGATGATGTTTCCAGCATCGAATGTGGTGTAACTGATATACCGAGACCAACATGTTTGGTGCGGGCTGGAGGCAATTTCTGGATTTCTTCGTCCATCACTGTCGTTTCTCCTCTTTCTAGGAGTTTCTTATATTCCAAGCCCTCTTCTTCAAGCCTTTCTTCATCGAGTTTTTCATGCGGTACCTCAGGTTTCTTAACCAGTACAGATGGCAAAGATGATGTTTCCAGCATCGAATGTGGTGTAACTAATATACCGAGACCAACATGTTTGGTGCGGGCTGGAGGCAATTTCTGGATTTCTTCGTCCATCACTGTCGTTTCTCCTCTTTCTAGGAGTTTCTTATATTCCAAGCCCTCTTCTTCAAGCTTTTCTTCATCGAGTTTTTCATGCGGTACCTCAGGTTTCTTAACCAGTACAGATAGCAAAGATGATGTTTCCAGCATCGAATGTGGTGTAACTGATATACCGAGACCAACATGTTTGGTGCGGGCTGGAGGCAATTTCTGGATTTCTTCGTCCATCACTGTCGTTTCTCCTCTTTCTAGGAGTTTCTTATATTCCAAGCCCTCTTCTTCTTTTTCTTCTCCAAGCTTTTCTTCATGGAGTTTTCCATGCGGTATCTCAGGTTTCTTAATCAGTACGGATGGCAGCGATGATGTTTCCAGCATCGAATGTGGTGTAACTGATATACCGAGACCAACATGCTTGGTGCGGGCTGGAGGCAATTTCTGGATTTCTTCGTCCATCACTGTCGTTTCTCCTCTTTCTAGGAATTTCTTATATTCCAAGCCCTCTTCTTCAAGCTTTTCTTCATCGAGTTTTTCATGCGGTACTTCAGGTTTCTTAACCAGTACAGATGGCAAAGATGATGTTTCCAGCATCGAATGTGGTGTAATTGATATACCGAGACCAACATGCTTGGTGCGGGCTGGAGGCAATTTCTGGATTTCTTCGTCCATCACTGTCGTTTCTCCTCTTTCTAGGAGTTTCTTATATTCCAAGCCCTCTTCTTCTTTTTCTTCTCCAAGCTTTTCTTCATGGAGTTTTCCATGCGGTATCTCAGGTTTCTTAATCAGTACGGATGGCAGCGATGATGTTTCCAGCATCGAATGTGGTGTAACTGATATACCGAGACCAACATGCTTGGTGCGGGCTGGAGGCAATTTCTGGATTTCTTCGTCCATCACTGTCGTTTCTCCTCTTTCTAGCAGTCTCTTATATTCCAAGCCCTCTTCTTCTTTTTCTTCTTCAAGCTTTTCTTCGACCTCAGGTTTCGTCATCAATACAAGGGGTGAAGATGATGAGTCTGGTTTCAAAAATGGTGTCACTGATAAAGCAACACCAAGCTGAACAGCTGGGGCTGATAAAGTCTCTGTAGCTTCTTCCATATATGTCGTTTCTCCCTTTTCGCCCAATTTTTTGTATTCCTCCTCTTCTTCCTCTTCTTGAATTCTTCCTTCAATGCCTGTTTTATTTGCAGATACAGTTGACTTCATCGACACTGAAGATTCAGGTATAGAGAAGGGTGTCATCGATAGACCAAGACCAGGCAGCCCAGTGCCAGCTGATGGTGATACTGAAGCTTCCATATATGTCGTTTCTCCTTTTTCGCCCAATTTTTTGTATTCCTGTTCTTCTTCCTCTTCTTGAATTCTTCCTTCAATGCCTGTTTCATTTGCAGATACAGTTGACTTCATCGACACTGAAGATTCAGGTATAGAGAAGGGTGTCATCGATAGACCAAGACCAGGCAGCCCAGTGCCAGCTGATGGTGATACTGAAGCTTCCATATATGTCGTTTCTCGCTTTTCTCCCAGTCGTTTCATTTCTTCTTCCTCTTCTTGAATTCTTTCCTCAATTCCTGTTTCATTTGCAGATACAGTTGACTTCATCGACACTGAAGATTCAGGCATAGAGAAAGGTGTCATCGATAGACCAAGACCAGGCAGCCCAGTGCCAGTTGATGGTGATACTGAAGCTTCCATATATGTCGTTTCTCCTTTTTCGCCCAATTTTTTGTATTCCTGTTCTTCTTCCTCTTCTTGAATTCTTCCTTCAATGCCTGTTTCATTTGCAGATACAGTTGACTTCATCGACACTGAAGATTCAGGTATAGAGAAAGGTGTCATCGATAGACCAAGACCAGGCAGCCCAGTGCCAGCTGATGGTGATACTGAAGCTTCCATATATGTCGTTTCTCCTTTTTCGCCCAATTTTTTGTATTCCTCCTCTTCTTCCTCTTCTTGAATCCTTCCTTCAACGCCTGTTTCATTTGCAGATACAGTTGACTTCATCGACACTGAAGATTCAGGTATAGAGAAGGGTGTCATCGATAGACCAAGACTAGGCAGCCCAGTGCCAGCTGATGGTGATACTGAAGCTTCCATATATGTCGTTTCTCCTTTTTCGCCCAATTTTTTGTATTCCTCCTCTTCTTCCTCTTCTTGAATCCTTCCTTCAACGCCTGTTTCATTTGCAGATACAGTTGACTTCATCGACACTGAAGATTCAGGTATAGAGAAGGGTGTCATCGATAGACCAAGACCAGGCAGCCCAGTGCCAACTGATGGTGATACTGAAGCTTCCATATATGTTGTTTCTCCTTTTTCGCCCAATTTTTTGTATTCCTCCTCTTCTTCCTCTTCTTGAATTCTTCCTTCAATGCCTGTTTCATTTGCAGATACAGTTGACTTCATCGACACTGAAGATTCAGGTACAGAGAAGGGTGTCATCGATAGACCAAGACCAGGCAGCCCAGTGCCAGCTGATGGTGATACTGAAGCTTCCATATATGTCGTTTCTCCCTTTTCTCCCAGTCTTTTCATTTCTTCTTCCTCTTCTTGAATCCTTCCTTCAGTGCCTGTTTCATTTGCAGATACAGTTGACTTCATCGACACTGAAGATTCAGGTATAGAGAAGGGTGTCATCGATAGACCAAGACCAGGCAGCCCAGTGCCAGTTGATGGTGATACTGAAGCTTCCATATATGTCGTTTCTCCTTTCTCGCCCAATTTTTTGTATTCCTCCTCTTCTTCCTCTTCTTGAATTCTTCCTTCAATGCCTGTTTTATTTGCAGATACAGTTGACTTCATCGACACTGAAGATTCAGGTATAGAGAAGGGTGTCATCGATAGACCAAGACCAGGCAGCCCAGTGCCAGCTGATGGTGATACTGAAGCTTCCATATATGTCGTTTCTCCTTTTTCGCCCAATTTTTTGTATTCCTCCTCTTCTTCCTCTTCTTGAATCCTTCCTTCAATGCCTGTTTCATTTGCAGATACAGTTGACTTCATCGACACTGAAGATTCAGGTATAGAGAAGGGTGTCATCGATAGACCAAGACCAGGCAGCCCAGTGCCAGTTGATGGTGATACTGAAGCTTCCATATATGTCGTTTCTCCCTTTTCTCCCAGTCTTTTCATTTCTTCTTCCTCTTCTTGAACTCTTTCCTCAGTTCCTGTTTCATTTGCAGATACAGTTGACTTCATCCACACTGAAGATTCAGGCATAGAGAAAGGTGTCATCGATAGACCAAGACCAGGCACCCCAGTGCCAGCTGATGGTGATACTGAAGCTTCCATATATGTCGTTTCTCCTTTTTCGCCCAATTTTTTGTATTCCTCCTCTTCTTCCTCTTCTTGAATCCTTCCTTCAACGCCTGTTTCATTTGCAGATACAGTTGACTTCATCGACACTGAAGATTCAGGTATAGAGAAGGGTGTCATCGATAGACCAAGACTAGGCAGCCCAGTGCCAGCTGATGGTGATACTGAAGCTTCCATATATGTCGTTTCTCCTTTTTCGCCCAATTTTTTGTATTCCTCCTCTTCTTCCTCTTCTTGAATCCTTCCTTCAACGCCTGTTTCATTTGCAGATACAGTTGACTTCATCGACACTGAAGATTCAGGTATAGAGAAGGGTGTCATCGATAGACCAAGACCAGGCAGCCCAGTGCCAGCTGATGGTGATACTGAAGCTTCCATATATGTCGTTTCTCCTTTTTCGCCCAATTTTTTGTATTCCTCCTCTTCTTCCTCTTCTTGAATCCTTCCTTCAATTCCTGTTTCATTTGCAGATACAGTTGACTTCATCGACACTGAAGATTCAGGTATAGAGAAGGGTGTCATCGATAGACCAAGACCAGGCAGCCCAGTGCCAGCTGATGGTGATACTGAAGCTTCCATATATGTCGTTTCTCCCTTTTCTCCCAGTCTTTTCATTTCTTCTTCCTCTTCTTGAATCCTTCCTTCAATGCCTGTTTCATTTGCAGATACAGTTGACTTCATCGACACTGAAGATTCAGGTATAGAGAAGGGTGTCATCGATAGACCAAGACCAGGCAGCCCAGTGCCAGCTGATGGTGATACTGAAGCTTCCATATATGTCGTTTCTCCTTTTTCGCCCAATTTTTTGTATTCCTGTTCTTCTTCCTCTTCTTGAATTCTTCCTTCAATGCCTGTTTCATTTGCAGATACAGTTGACTTCATCGACACTGAAGATTCAGGTATAGAGAAGGGTGTCATCGATAGACCAAGACCAGGCAGCCCAGTGCCAGCTGATGGTGATACTGAAGCTTCCATATATGTCGTTTCTCCCTTTTCTCCCAGTCGTTTCATTTCTTCTTCCTCTTCTTGAATTCTTTCCTCAATTCCTGTTTCATTTGCAGATACAGTTGACTTCATCGACACTGAAGATTCAGGCATAGAGAAAGGTGTCATCGATAGACCAAGACCAGGCAGCCCAGTGCCAGCTGATGGTGATACTGAAGCTTCCATATATGTCGTTTCTCCTTTTTCACCCAATTTTTTGTATTCCTCCTCTTCTTCCTCTTCTTGAATCCTTCCTTCAACGCCTGTTTCATTTGCAGATACAGTTGACGTCATCCACACTGAAGATTCAGGTATAGAGAAGGGTGTCATCGATAGACCAAGACCAGGCAGCCCAGTGCCAGCTGATGGTGATACTGAAGCTTCCATATATGTCGTTTCTCCTTTTTCGCCCAATTTTTTGTATTCCTCCTCTTCTTCCTCTTCTTGAATCCTTCCTTCAATGCCTGTTTCATTTGCAGATACAGTTGACTTCATCGACACTGAAGATTCAGGTATAGAGAAGGGTGTCATCGATAGACCAAGACCAGGCAGCCCAGTGCCAGCTGATGGTGATACTGAAGCTTCCAGATATGTCGTTTCTCCTTTTTCGCCCAATTTTTTGTATTCCTCCTCTTCTTCCTCTTCTTGAATCCTTCCTTCAACGCCTGTTTCATTTGCAGATACAGTTGACTTCATCGACACTGAAGATTCAGGTATAGAGAAGGGTGTCATCGATAGACCAAGACCAGGCAGCCCAGTGCCAGCTGATGGTGATACTGAAGCTTCCATATATGTCGTTTCTCCTTTTTCGCCCAATTTTTTGTATTCCTGTTCTTCTTCCTCTTCTTGAATTCTTCCTTCAATGCCTGTTTCATTTGCAGATACAGTTGACTTCATCGACACTGAAGATTCAGGTATAGAGAAGGGTGTCATCGATAGACCAAGACCAGGCAGCCCAGTGCCAGCTGATGGTGATACTGAAGCTTCCATATATGTCGTTTCTCCCTTTTCTCCCAGTCGTTTCATTTCTTCTTCCTCTTCTTGAATTCTTTCCTCAATTCCTGTTTCATTTGCAGATACAGTTGACTTCATCGACACTGAAGATTCATTTATAGAGAAGGGTGTCATCGATAGACCAAGACCAGGCAGCCCAGTGCCAGCTGATGGTGATACTGAAGCTTCCATATATGTCGTTTCTCCTTTTTCGCCCAATTTTTTGTATTCCTCCTCTTCTTCCTCTTCTTGAATCCTTCCTTCAACGCCTGTTTCATTTGCAGATACAGTTGACTTCATCGACACTGAAGATTCAGGTATAGAGAAGGGTGTCATCGATAGACCAAGACCAGGCAGCCCAGTGCCAGCTGATGGTGATACTGAAGCTTCCATATATGTCGTTTCTCCTTTTTCGCCCAATTTTTTCTTCTTCTCTCTCTTGAATTCTTTCCTTCAATGCCTGTTTCATTTGCAGATACAGTTGACTTCATCGACACTGAAGATTCAGGTATAGAGAAGGGTGTCATCGATAGACCAAGACCAGGCAGCCCAGTGCCAGCTGATGGTGATACTGAAGCTTCCATATATGTCGTTTCTCCCTTTTCTCCCAGTCGTTTCATTTCTTCTTCCTCTTCTTGAATTCTTTCCTCAATTCCTGTTTCATTTGCAGATACAGTTGACTTCATCGACACTGAAGATTCAGGCATAGAGAAAGGTGTCATCGATAGACCAAGACCAGGCAGCCCAGTGCCAGCTGATGGTGATACTGAAGCTTCCATATATGTCGTTTCTCCTTTTTCGCCCAATTTTTTGTATTCCTGTTCTTCTTCCTCTTCTTGAATTCTTCCTTCAATGCCTGTTTCATTTGCAGATACAGTTGACTTCATCGACACTGAAGATTCAGGTATAGAGAAGGGTGTCATCGATAGACCAAGACCAGGCAGCCCAGTGCCAGCTGATGGTGATACTGAAGCTTCCATATATGTCGTTTCTCCTTTTTCACCCAATTTTTTGTATTCCTCCTCTTCTTCCTCTTCTTGAATCCTTCCTTCAACGCCTGTTTCATTTGCAGGTACAGTTGACGTCATCCACACTGAAGATTCAGGTATAGAGAAGGGTGTCATCGATAGACCAAGACCAGGCAGCCCAGTGCCAGCTGATGGTGATACTGAAGCTTCCATATATGTCGTTTCTCCCTTTTCTCCCAGTCTTTTCATTTCTTCTTCCTCTTCTTGAATCCTTCCTTCAATGCCTGTTTCATTTGCAGATACAGTTGACTTCATCGACACTGAAGATTCAGGTATAGAGAAGGGTGTCATCGATAGACCAAGACCAGGCAGCCCAGTGCCAGCTGATGGTGATACTGAAGCTTCCATATATGTCGTTTCTCCTTTTTCGCCCAATTTTTTGTATTCCTCCTCTTCTTCCTCTTCTTGAATCCTTCCTTCAACGCCTGTTTCATTTGCAGATACAGTTGACTTCATCGACACTGAAGATTCAGGTATAGAGAAGGGTGTCATCGATAGACCAAGACCAGGCAGCCCAGTGCCAGCTGATGGTGATACTGAAGCTTCCATATATGTCGTTTCTCCTTTTTCGCCCAATTTTTTGTATTCCTGTTCTTCTTCCTCTTCTTGAATTCTTCCTTCAATGCCTGTTTCATTTGCAGATACAGTTGACTTCATCGACACTGAAGATTCAGGTATAGAGAAGGGTGTCATCGATAGACCAAGACCAGGCAGCCCAGTGCCAGCTGATGGTGATACTGAAGCTTCCATATATGTCGTTTCTCCCTTTTCTCCCAGTCGTTTCATTTCTTCTTCCTCTTCTTGAATTCTTTCCTCAATTCCTGTTTCATTTGCAGATACAGTTGACTTCATCGACACTGAAGATTCAGGCATAGAGAAAGGTGTCATCGATAGACCAAGACCAGGCAGCCCAGTGCCAGCTGATGGTGATACTGAAGCTTCCATATATGTCGTTTCTCCTTTTTCACCCAATTTTTTGTATTCCTCCTCTTCTTCCTCTTCTTGAATCCTTCCTTCAACGCCTGTTTCATTTGCAGATACAGTTGACGTCATCCACACTGAAGATTCAGGTATAGAGAAGGGTGTCATCGATAGACCAAGACCAGGCAGCCCAGTGCCAGCTGATGGTGATACTGAAGCTTCCATATATGTCGTTTCTCCTTTTTCGCCCATTTTTTGTATTCCTCCTCTTCTTCCTCTTCTTGAATCCTTCCTTCAACGCCTGTTTCATTTGCAGATACAGTTGACTTCATCGACACTGAAGATTCAGGTATAGAGAAGGGTGTCATCGATAGACCAAGACCAGGCAGCCCAGTGCCAGCTGATGGTGATACTGAAGCTTCCATATATGTCGTTTCTCCTTTTTCGCCCAATTTTTTGTATTCCTGTTCTTCTTCCTCTTCTTGAATTCTTCCTTCAATGCCTGTTTCATTTGCAGATACAGTTGACTTCATCGACACTGAAGATTCAGGTATAGAGAAGGGTGTCATCGATAGACCAAGACCAGGCAGCCCAGTGCCAGCTGATGGTGATACTGAAGCTTCCATATATGTCGTTTCTCCCTTTTCTCCCAGTCGTTTCATTTCTTCTTCCTCTTCTTGAATTCTTTCCTCAATTCCTGTTTCATTTGCAGATACAGTTGACTTCATCGACACTGAAGATTCAGGTATAGAGAAGGGTGTCATCGATAGACCAAGACCAGGCAGCCCAGTGCCAGCTGATGGTGATACTGAAGCTTCCATATATGTCAAGTTTCTCCTTTTCCAATTTTTTGTATTCTTTCTTCTCTCTTGAATCCTTCCTTCCAACGCCTGTTTCATTTGCAGATACAGTTGACTTCATCGACACTGAAGATTCAGGTATAGAGAAGGGTGTCATCGATAGACCAAGACCAGGCAGCCCAGTGCCAGCTGATGGTGATACTGAAGCTTCCATATATGTCGTCTCCTTTTCGCCCAATTTTTGTATTCCTTCCTCCCTCTTGAATTCTTCCTTCAATGCCTGTTTCATTTGCAGATACAGTTGACTTCATCGACACTGAAGATTCAGGTATAGAGAAGGGTGTCATCGATAGACCAAGACCAGGCAGCCCAGTGCCAGCTGATGGTGATACTGAAGCTTCCATATATGTCGTTTCTCCTTTTCTCCCAGTCTTTTCATTTCTTCTTCCTCTTCTTGAATTCTTTCCTCAATTCCTGTTTCATTTGCAGATACAGTTGACTTCATCGACACTGAAGATTCAGGTATAGAGAAAGGTGTCATCGATAGACCAAGACCAGGCAGCCCAGTGCCAGTTGATGGTGATACTGAAGCTTCCATATATGTCGTTTCTCCTTTTTCGCCCAATTTTTTGTATTCCTGTTCTTCTTCCTCTTCTTGAATTCTTCCTTCAATGCCTGTTTCATTTGCAGATACAGTTGACTTCATCGACACTGAAGATTCAGGCATAGAGAAGGGTGTCATCGATAGACCGAGACCAGGCAGCCCAGTGCCAGCTGATGGTGGTACTGAAGCTTCCATATATGTCGTTTCTCCCTTTTCTCCCAGTCGTTTCATTTCTTCTTCCTCTTCTTGAATTCTTTCCTCAATTCCTGTTTCATTTGCAGATACAGTTGACTTCATCGACACTGAAGATTCAGGTATAGAGAAGGGTGTCATCGATAGACCAAGACCAGGCAGCCCAGTGCCAGCTGATGGTGATACTGAAGCTTCCATATATGTCGTTTCTCCTTTTTCGCCCAATTTTTTGTATTCCTGTTCTTCTTCCTCTTCTTGAATTCTTCCTTCAATGCCTGTTTCATTTGCAGATACAGTTGACTTCATCGACACTGAAGATTCAGGTATAGAGAAGGGTGTCATCGATAGACCAAGACCAGGCAGCCCAGTGCCAGCTGATGGTGATACTGAAGCTTCCATATATGTCGTTTCTCCTTTTTCGCCCAATTTTTTGTATTCCTGTTCTTCTTCCTCTTCTTGAATTCTTCCTTCAATGCCTGTTTCATTTGCAGATACAGTTGACTTCATCGACACTGAAGATTCAGGTATAGAGAAGGGTGTCATCGATAGACCAAGACCAGGCAGCCCAGTGCCAGCTGATGGTGATACTGAAGCTTCCATATATGTCGTTTCTCCTTTTTCGCCCAATTTTTTGTATTCCTCCTCTTCTTCCTCTTCTTGAATCCTTCCTTCAACGCCTGTTTCATTTGCAGATACAGTTGACTTCATCGACACTGAAGATTCAGGTATAGAGAAGGGTGTCATCGATAGACCAAGACCAGGCAGCCCAGTGCCAGCTGATGGTGATACTGAAGCTTCCATATATGTCGTTTCTCCCTTTTCTCCCAGTCGTTTCATTTCTTCTTCCTCTTCTTGAATTCTTTCCTCAATTCCTGTTTCATTTGCAGATACAGTTGACTTCATCGACACTGAAGATTCAGGTATAGAGAAGGGTGTCATCGATAGACCAAGACCAGGCAGCCCAGTGCCAGCTGATGGTGATACTGAAGCTTCCATATATGTCGTTTTCTCCTTTTTCTTTCGCATTTTTTACTCTTCTTCCTCTTCTTGAATCCTTCCTTCAACGCCTGTTTCATTTGCAGATACAGTTGACTTCATCGACACTGAAGATTCAGGTATAGAGAAGGGTGTCATCGATAGACCAAGACCAGGCAGCCCAGTGCCAGCTGATGGTGATACTGAAGCTTCCATATATGTCGTTTCTCCTTTTCGCCCAATTTTTGTATTCCTCTTCTTCTTCTTCTTGAATCTTCCTTCAATGCCTGTTTCATTTGCAGATACAGTTGACTTCATCGACACTGAAGATTCAGGTATAGAGAAGGGTGTCATCGATAGACCAAGACCAGGCAGCCCAGTGCCAGCTGATGGTGATACTGAAGCTTCCATATATGTCGTTTCTCCCTTTTCTCCCAGTCGTTTCATTTCTTCTTCCTCTTCTTGAATTCTTTCCTCAATTCCTGTTTCATTTGCAGATACAGTTGACTTCATCGACACTGAAGATTCAGGCATAGAGAAAGGTGTCATCGATAGACCAAGACCAGGCAGCCCAGTGCCAGCTGATGGTGATACTGAAGCTTCCATATATGTCGTTTCTCCTTTTCAATTTATCCTCTTCTTCTCTTCTTGAATCCTTCCTTCAACGCCTGTTTCATTTGCAGGTACAGTTGACGTCATCCACACTGAAGATTCAGGTATAGAGAAGGGTGTCATCGATAGACCAAGACCAGGCAGCCCAGTGCCAGCTGATGGTGATACTGAAGCTTCCATATATGTCGTTTCTCCCTTTTCTCCCAGTCTTTTCATTTCTTCTTCCTCTTCTTGAATCCTTCCTTCAATGCCTGTTTCATTTGCAGATACAGTTGACTTCATCGACACTGAAGATTCAGGTATAGAGAAGGGTGTCATCGATAGACCAAGACCAGGCAGCCCAGTGCCAGCTGATGGTGATACTGAAGCTTCCATATATGTCGTTTCTCCTTTTCGCCCATTTTTTGTATTTTCTTCTTCCTCTTCTTGAATCCTTCCTTCAACGCCTGTTTCATTTGCAGATACAGTTGACTTCATCGACACTGAAGATTCAGGTATAGAGAAGGGTGTCATCGATAGACCAAGACCAGGCAGCCCAGTGCCAGCTGATGGTGATACTGAAGCTTCCATATATGTCGTTTCTCCCTTTTCTCCCAGTCTTTTCATTTCTTCTTCCTCTTCTTGAATTCTTTCCTCAATTCCTGTTTCATTTGCAGATACAGTTGACTTCATCGACACTGAAGATTCAGGTATAGAGAAAGGTGTCATCGATAGACCAAGACCAGGCAGCCCAGTGCCAGTTGATGGTGATACTGAAGCTTCCATATATGTCGTTTCTCCTTTTTCGCCCAATTTTTTGTATTCCTGTTCTTCTTCCTCTTCTTGAATTCTTCCTTCAATGCCTGTTTCATTTGCAGATACAGTTGACTTCATCGACACTGAAGATTCAGGTATAGAGAAGGGTGTCATCGATAGACCAAGACCAGGCAGCCCAGTGCCAGCTGATGGTGATACTGAAGCTTCCATATATGTCGTTTCTCCTTTTCGCAATTTTTTCCTTCTTCTTCCTCTTCTTGAATTCTTCCTTCAATGCCTGTTTCATTTGCAGATACAGTTGACTTCATCGACACTGAAGATTCAGGTATAGAGAAGGGTGTCATCGATAGACCAAGACCAGGCAGCCCAGTGCCAGCTGATGGTGATACTGAAGCTTCCATATATGTCGTTTTCCGCCCCATTTTTTCTCTCTTCTTCCTCTTCTTGAATCCTTCCTTCAACGCCTGTTTCATTTGCAGATACAGTTGACTTCATCGACACTGAAGATTCAGGTATAGAGAAGGGTGTCATCGATAGACCAAGACCAGGCAGCCCAGTGCCAGCTGATGGTGATACTGAAGCTTCCATATATGTCGTTTCTCCTTTTTCGCCCAATTTTTTGTATTCCTGTTCTTCTTCCTCTTCTTGAATTCTTCCTTCAATGCCTGTTTCATTTGCAGATACAGTTGACTTCATCGACACTGAAGATTCAGGCATAGAGAAGGGTGTCGTGGATAGACCGAGACCAGGCAGCCCAGTGCCAGCTGATGGTGATACTGAAGCTTCCATATATGTCGTTTCTCCCTTTTCTCCCAGTCGTTTCATTTCTTCTTCCTCTTCTTGAATTCTTTCCTCAATTCCTGTTTCATTTGCAGATACAGTTGACTTCATCGACACTGAAGATTCAGGTATAGAGAAGGGTGTCATCGATAGACCAAGACCAGGCAGCCCAGTGCCAGCTGATGGTGATACTGAAGCTTCCATATATGTCGTTTCTCCTTTTTCGCCCAATTTTTTGTATTCCTGTTCTTCTTCCTCTTCTTGAATTCTTCCTTCAATGCCTGTTTCATTTGCAGATACAGTTGACTTCATCGACACTGAAGATTCAGGTATAGAGAAGGGTGTCATCGATAGACCAAGACCAGGCAGCCCAGTGCCAGCTGATGGTGATACTGAAGCTTCCATATATGTCGTTTCTCCTTTTCCCAATTTTTTTCTCTTCTTCTCTTCTTGAATTCTTCCTTCAATGCCTGTTTCATTTGCAGATACAGTTGACTTCATCGACACTGAAGATTCAGGTATAGAGAAGGGTGTCATCGATAGACCAAGACCAGGCAGCCCAGTGCCAGCTGATGGTGATACTGAAGCTTCCATATATGTCGTTTCTCCCTTTTCTCCCAGTCTTTTCATTTCTTCTTCCTCTTCTTGAATTCTTTCCTCAATTCCTGTTTCAATGCCTGTTTCATTTGCAGATACAGTTGACTTCATCGACACTGAAGATTCAGGTATAGAGAAGGGTGTCATCGATAGACCAAGACCAGGCAGCCCAGTGCCAGCTGATGGTGATACTGAAGCTTCCATATATGTCGTTTCTCCTTTTTCGCCCAATTTTTTGTATTCCTGTTCTTCTTCCTCTTCTTGAATTCTTCCTTCAATGCCTGTTTCATTTGCAGATACAGTTGACTTCATCGACACTGAAGATTCAGGTATAGAGAAGGGTGTCATCGATAGACCAAGACCAGGCAGCCCAGTGCCAGCTGATGGTGATACTGAAGCTTCCATATATGTCGTTTCTCCTTTTCGCCCAATTTTTTGTATTCCTGTCTTCTTCCTCTTCTTGAATTCTTCCTTCAATGCCTGTTTCATTTGCAGATACAGTTGACTTCATCGACACTGAAGATTCAGGTATAGAGAAGGGTGTCATCGATAGACCAAGACCAGGCAGCCCAGTGCCAGCTGATGGTGATACTGAAGCTTCCATATATGTCGTTTCTCCTTTCTCCCAGTCTTTTCATTTCTTCTTCCTCTTCTTGAATTCTTTCCTCAATTCCTGTTTCAATGCCTGTTTCATTTGCAGATACAGTTGACTTCATCGACACTGAAGATTCAGGTATAGAGAAGGGTGTCATCGATAGACCAAGACCAGGCAGCCCAGTGCCAGCTGATGGTGATACTGAAGCTTCCATATATGTCGTTTCTCCTTTTTAAATTTTTTGTCCTTCTTCTTCTCTTCTTGAATTCTCCTTCAATGCCTGTTTCATTTGCAGATACAGTTGACTTCATCGACACTGAAGATTCAGGTATAGAGAAGGGTGTCATCGATAGACCAAGACCAGGCAGCCCAGTGCCAGCTGATGGTGATACTGAAGCTTCCATATATGTCGTTTCTCCCTTTTCTCCCAGTCGTTTCATTTCTTCTTCCTCTTCTTGAATTCTTTCCTCAATTCCTGTTTCATTTGCAGATACAGTTGACTTCATCGACACTGAAGATTCAGGCATAGAGAAAGGTGTCATCGATAGACCAAGACCAGGCAGCCCAGTGCCAGCTGATGGTGATACTGAAGCTTCCATATATGTCGTTTCTCCTTTTTCACCCAATTTTTTGTATTCCTCCTCTTCTTCCTCTTCTTGAATCCTTCCTTCAACGCCTGTTTCATTTGCAGGTACAGTTGACGTCATCCACACTGAAGATTCAGGTATAGAGAAGGGTGTCATCGATAGACCAAGACCAGGCAGCCCAGTGCCAGCTGATGGTGATACTGAAGCTTCCATATATGTCGTTTCTCCCTTTTCTCCCAGTCTTTTCATTTCTTCTTCCTCTTCTTGAATCCTTCCTTCAATGCCTGTTTCATTTGCAGATACAGTTGACTTCATCGACACTGAAGATTCAGGCATAGAGAAAGGTGTCATCGATAGACCAAGACCAGGCAGCCCAGTGCCAGCTGATGGTGATACTGAAGCTTCCATATATGTCGTTTCTCCTTTTTTACCCAATTTTTTGTATTCCTCCTCTTCTTCCTCTTCTTGAATCCTTCCTTCAACGCCTGTTTCATTTGCAGATACAGTTGACGTCATCCACACTGAAGATTCAGGTATAGAGAAGGGTGTCATCGATAGACCAAGACCAGGCAGCCCAGTGCCAGCTGATGGTGATACTGAAGCTTCCATATATGTCGTTTCTCCCTTTTCTCCCAGTCTTTTCATTTCTTCTTCCTCTTCTTGAATCCTTCCTTCAATGCCTGTTTCATTTGCAGATACAGTTGACTTCATCGACACTGAAGATTCAGGTATAGAGAAGGGTGTCATCGATAGACCAAGACCAGGCAGCCCAGTGCCAGCTGATGGTGATACTGAAGCTTCCATATATGTCGTTTCTCCTTTTCGCCCAATTTTTGTATTCTCTTCTTCCTCTTCTTGAATCCTTCCTTCAACGCCTGTTTCATTTGCAGATACAGTTGACTTCATCGACACTGAAGATTCAGGTATAGAGAAGGGTGTCATCGATAGACCAAGACCAGGCAGCCCAGTGCCAGCTGATGGTGATACTGAAGCTTCCATATATGTCGTTTCTCCTTTTCTCCCAGTCGTTTCATTTCTTCTTCCTCTTCTTGAATTCTTTCCTCAATTCCTGTTTCATTTGCAGATACAGTTGACTTCATCGACACTGAAGATTCAGGTATAGAGAAGGGTGTCATCGATAGACCAAGACCAGGCAGCCCAGTGCCAGCTGATGGTGATACTGAAGCTTCCATATATGTCGTTTCTCCTTTTCGCCAATTCTTTTGTATTCTCTTCTTCCTCTTCTTGAATCCTTCCTTCAACGCCTGTTTCATTTGCAGATACAGTTGACTTCATCGACACTGAAGATTCAGGTATAGAGAAGGGTGTCATCGATAGACCAAGACCAGGCAGCCCAGTGCCAGCTGATGGTGATACTGAAGCTTCCATATATGTCGTTTCTCCTTTTTCCCAATTTTTGTATTCCTTTCTTCTTCCTCTTGAATTCTTCCTTCAATGCCTGTTTCATTTGCAGATACAGTTGACTTCATCGACACTGAAGATTCAGGTATAGAGAAGGGTGTCATCGATAGACCAAGACCAGGCAGCCCAGTGCCAGCTGATGGTGATACTGAAGCTTCCATATATGTCGTTTCTCCCTTTCTCCCAGTCTTTTCATTTCTTCTTCCTCTTCTTGAATTCTTCCTCAATTCCTGTTTCATTTGCAGATACAGTTGACTTCATCGACACTGAAGATTCAGGTATAGAGAAGGTGTCATCGATAGACCAAGACCAGGCAGCCCAGTGCCAGTTGATGGTGATACTGAAGCTTCCATATATGTCGTTTCTCCTTTTCGCTTTTTGTATTTCTTCTTCCTCTTCTTGAATTCTTCCTTCAATGCCTGTTTCATTTGCAGATACAGTTGACTTCATCGACACTGAAGATTCAGGTATAGAGAAGGGTGTCATCGATAGACCAAGACCAGGCAGCCCAGTGCCAGCTGATGGTGATACTGAAGCTTCCATATATCGTTCTCCTTTTCGCCCAATTTTTTTTCTTTCTTCCTCTTCTTGAATTCTTCCTTCAATGCCTGTTTCATTTGCAGATACAGTTGACTTCATCGACACTGAAGATTCAGGTATAGAGAAGGGTGTCATCGATAGACCAAGACCAGGCAGCCCAGTGCCAGCTGATGGTGATACTGAAGCTTCCATATATGTCGTTTCTCCTTTTCTCCCAGTCTTTTTCCCCATTTCTTCTTCCTCTTCTTGAATTCTTCTCAATTCCTGTTTCAATGCCTGTTTCATTTGCAGATACAGTTGACTTCATCGACACTGAAGATTCAGGTATAGAGAAGGGTGTCATCGATAGACCAAGACCAGGCAGCCCAGTGCCAGCTGATGGTGATACTGAAGCTTCCATATATGTCGTTTCTCCTTTTCTATTTTTTCTTCTTCTCTTCTTGAATTCTTCCTTCAATGCCTGTTTCATTTGCAGATACAGTTGACTTCATCGACACTGAAGATTCAGGTATAGAGAAGGGTGTCATCGATAGACCAAGACCAGGCAGCCCAGTGCCAGCTGATGGTGATACTGAAGCTTCCATATATGTCGTCTCCTTTTCTTTCGCCCAATTTTTTGTTCTTTCTTCTCTTGAATTCTTTCCTTCAATGCCTGTTTCATTTGCAGATACAGTTGACTTCATCGACACTGAAGATTCAGGTATAGAGAAGGGTGTCATCGATAGACCAAGACCAGGCAGCCCAGTGCCAGCTGATGGTGATACTGTACAGTTGACTTCATCGACACTGAAGATTCAGGTATAGAGAAGGGTGTCATCGATAGACCAAGACCAGGCAGCCCAGTGCCAGCTGATGGTGATACTGAAGCTTCCATATATGTCGTTTCTCCTTTTTCGCCCAATTTTTTGTATTCCTGTTCTTCCTCTTCTTGAATTCTTCCTTCAATGCCTGTTTCATTTGCAGATACAGTTGACTTCATCGACACTGAAGATTCAGGTATAGAGAAGGGTGTCATCGATAGACCAAGACCAGGCAGCCCAGTGCCAGCTGATGGTGATACTGAAGCTTCCATATATGTCGTTTCTCCCTTTTCTCCCAGTCGTTTCATTTCTTCTTCCTCTTCTTGAATTCTTTCCTCAATTCCTGTTTCATTTGCAGATACAGTTGACTTCATCGACACTGAAGATTCAGGCATAGAGAAAGGTGTCATCGATAGACCAAGACCAGGCAGCCCAGTGCCAGCTGATGGTGATACTGAAGCTTCCATATATGTCGTTTCTCCTTTTTCACCCAATTTTTTGTATTCCTCCTCTTCTTCCTCTTCTTGAATCCTTCCTTCAACGCCTGTTTCATTTGCAGATACAGTTGACTTCATCGACACTGAAGATTCAGGTATAGAGAAGGGTGTCATCGATAGACCAAGACCAGGCAGCCCAGTGCCAGCTGATGGTGATACTGAAGCTTCCATATATGTCGTTTCTCCCTTTTCTCCCAGTCTTTTCATTTCTTCTTCCTCTTCTTGAATCCTTCCTTCAATTCCTGTTTCATTTGCAGATACAGTTGACTTCATCGACACTGAAGATTCAGGTATAGAGAAGGGTGTCATCGATAGACCAAGACCAGGCAGCCCAGTGCCAGCTGATGGTGATACTGAAGCTTCCATATATGTCGTTTCTCCTTTTCGCCCAATTTTTTGTATTCTCTCTTCTTCCTCTTCTTGAATTCTTCCTTCAATGCCTGTTTCATTTGCAGATACAGTTGACTTCATCGACACTGAAGATTCAGGTATAGAGAAGGGTGTCATCGATAGACCAAGACCAGGCAGCCCAGTGCCAGCTGATGGTGATACTGAAGCTTCCATATATCGTCGTTTCTCCTTTTCCCCAATTTTTTGTATTCCTCCTCTTCTTCCTCTTCTTGAATCCTTCCTTCAATTCCTGTTTCATTTGCAGATACAGTTGACTTCATCGACACTGAAGATTCAGGTATAGAGAAGGGTGTCATCGATAGACCAAGACCAGGCAGCCCAGTGCCAGCTGATGGTGATACTGAAGCTTCCATATATGTCGTTTCTCCCTTTTCGCCCAATTTTTTGTATTCCTCCTCTTCTTCCTCTTCTTGAATTCTTCCTTCAATGCCTGTTTCATTTGCAGATACAGTTGACTTCATCGACACTGAAGATTCAGGTATAGAGAAAGGTGTCATCGATAGACCAAGACCAGGCAGCCCAGTGCCAGCTGATGGTGATACTGAAGCTTCCATATATGTCGTTTCTCCCTTTTCTCCCAGTCTTTTCATTTCTTCTTCCTCTTCTTGAATTCTTTCCTCAATTCCTGTTTCATTTGCAGATACAGTTGACTTCATCGACACTGAAGATTCAGGTATAGAGAAGGGTGTCATCGATAGACCAAGACCAGGCAGCCCAGTGCCAGCTGATGGTGATACTGAAGCTTCCATATATGTCGTTTCTCCTTTTTCGCCCAATTTTTTGTATTCCTGTTCTTCTTCCTCTTCTTGAATTCTTCCTTCAATGCCTGTTTCATTTGCAGATACAGTTGACTTCATCGACACTGAAGATTCAGGTATAGAGAAGGGTGTCATCGATAGACCAAGACCAGGCAGCCCAGTGCCAGCTGATGGTGATACTGAAGCTTCCATATATGTCGTTTCTCCTTTTTCGCCCAATTTTTTGTATTCCTGTTCTTCTTCCTCTTCTTGAATTCTTCCTTCAATGCCTGTTTCATTTGCAGATACAGTTGACTTCATCGACACTGAAGATTCAGGTATAGAGAAGGGTGTCATCGATAGACCAAGACCAGGCAGCCCAGTGCCAGCTGATGGTGATACTGAAGCTTCCATATATGTCGTTTCTCCCTTTTCTCCCAGTCTTTTCATTTCTTCTTCCTCTTCTTGAATTCTTTCCTCAATTCCTGTTTCATTTGCAGATACAGTTGACTTCATCGACACTGAAGATTCAGGTATAGAGAAAGGTGTCATCGATAGACCAAGACCAGGCAGCCCAGTGCCAGTTGATGGTGATACTGAAGGTTCCATATATGTCGTTTCTCCTTTTTCACCCAATTTTTTGTATTCCTCTCTTCTTCCTCTTCTTGAATTCTTCCTTCAACCTGTTTCATTTGCAGATACAGTTGACTTCATCGACACTGAAGATTCAGGTATAGAGAAGGGTGTCATCGATAGACCAAGACCAGGCAGCCCAGTGCCAGCTGATGGTGATACTGAAGCTTCCATATATGTCGTTTCTCCCTTTTCTCCCAGTCTTTTCATTTCTTCTTCCTCTTCTTGAATTCTTCCTTCAATGCCTGTTTCATTTGCAGATACAGTTGACTTCATCGACACTGAAGATTCAGGTATAGAGAAAGGTGTCATCGATAGACCAAGACCAGGCAGCCCAGTGCCAGCTGATGGTGATACTGAAGCTTCCATATATGTCGTTTTTCTCCTTTTTCGCCCAATTTTTGTATTCCTCCTTCTTCCTCTTCTTGAATCCTTCCTTCAATGCCTGTTTCATTTGCAGATACAGTTGACTTCATCGACACTGAAGATTCAGGTATAGAGAAGGGTGTCATCGATAGACCAAGACCAGGCAGCCCAGTGCCAGCTGATGGTGATACTGAAGCTTCCATATATGTCGTTTCTCCCTTTTCTCCCAGTCTTTTCATTTCTTCTTCCTCTTCTTGAATTCTTTCCTCAATTCCTGTTTCAATGCCTGTTTCATTTGCAGATACAGTTGACTTCATCGACACTGAAGATTCAGGTATAGAGAAGGTGTCATCGATAGACCAAGACCAGGCAGCCCAGTGCCAGCTGATGGTGATACTGAAGCTTCCATATATGTCGTTTCTCCTTTTCACCCAATTTTTGTATTCCTCTCCTTCTTCTTCCTCTTCTTGAATCTTCCTTCAATGCCTGTTTCATTTGCAGATACAGTTGACTTCATCGACACTGAAGATTCAGGTATAGAGAAGGGTGTCATCGATAGACCAAGACCAGGCAGCCCAGTGCCAGCTGATGGTGATACTGAAGCTTCCATATATGTCGTTTCTCCCTTTTCTCTCAATTTTTTCATTTCTTTCTTCCTTCTTCTTGAATCTTCCTTCAATGCCTGTTTCATTTGCAGATACAGTTGACTTCATCGACACTGAAGATTCAGGTATAGAGAAGGGTGTCATCGATAGACCAAGACCAGGCAGCCCAGTGCCAGCTGATGGTGATACTGAAGCTTCCATATATGTTTTCTCCTTTTTCTCCCAATTTTTGTATTCTTTCTTCTTCCTCTTCTTGAATTCTTCCTTCAATGCCTGTTTCATTTGCAGATACAGTTGACTTCATCGACACTGAAGATTCAGGTATAGAGAAGGGTGTCATCGATAGACCAAGACCAGGCAGCCCAGTGCCAGCTGATGGTGATACTGAAGCTTCCATATATGTCGTTTTCTCTCTTTCAATTTTTGTATTCCTTTCTTCTTCCTCTTCTTCTGAATCTTCCTTCAATGCCTGTTTCATTTGCAGATACAGTTGACTTCATCGACACTGAAGATTCAGGTATAGAGAAGGGTGTCATCGATAGACCAAGACCAGGCAGCCCAGTGCCAGCTGATGGTGATACTGAAGCTTCCATATATGTCGTTTCTCCCTTTTCTCCCAGTCTTTTCATTTCTTCTTCCTCTTCTTGAATCCTTCCTTCAATGCCTGTTTCATTTGCAGATACAGTTGACTTCATCGACACTGAAGATTCAGGTATAGAGAAGGGTGTCATCGATAGACCAAGACCAGGCAGCCCAGTGCCAGCTGATGGTGATACTGAAGCTTCCATATATGTCGTTTCTCCCTTTTCTCCCAGTCTTTTCATTTCTTCTTCCTCTTCTTGAATCCTTCCTTCAATGCCTGTTTCATTTGCAGATACAGTTGACTTCATCGACACTGAAGATTCAGGTATAGAGAAGGGTGTCATCGATAGACCAAGACCAGGCAGCCCAGTGCCAGCTGATGGTGATACTGAAGCTTCCATATATGTCGTTTCTCCTTTTTCGCCCAATTTTTTGTATTCCTGTTCTTCTTCCTCTTCTTGAATCCTTCCTTCAATGCCTGTTTCATTTGCAGATACAGTTGACTTCATCGACACTGAAGATTCAGGTATAGAGAAGGGTGTCATCGATAGACCAAGACCAGGCAGCCCAGTGCCAGCTGATGGTGATACTGAAGCTTCCATATATGTCGTTTCTCCCTTTTCTCCCAGTCTTTTCATTTCTTCTTCCTCTTCTTGAATCCTTCCTTCAATGCCTGTTTCATTTGCAGATACAGTTGACTTCATCGACACTGAAGATTCAGGTATAGAGAAGGGTGTCATCGATAGACCAAGACCAGGCAGCCCAGTGCCAGCTGATGGTGATACTGAAGCTTCCATATATGTTTCGTTTCTTTTTAATTTCTTTTATTTCTCTCTTCTTCCTCTTCTTGAATCCTTCCTTCAATTCCTGTTTCATTTGCAGATACAGTTGACTTCATCGACACTGAAGATTCAGGTATAGAGAAGGGTGTCATCGATAGACCAAGACCAGGCAGCCCAGTGCCAGCTGATGGTGATACTGAAGCTTCCATATATGTCGTTTCTCTTTTCGCCCAATTTTTTGTATTCCTTTCTTCCTCTTCTTGAATCTTCCTTCAATGCCTGTTTCATTTGCAGATACAGTTGACTTCATCGACACTGAAGATTCAGGTATAGAGAAGGGTGTCATCGATAGACCAAGACCAGGCAGCCCAGTGCCAGCTGATGGTGATACTGAAGCTTCCATATATGTCGTTTCTCCTTTTTCGCCCAGTTTTTGTATTCCTGTTCTTCTTCTTCTTGAATCTTCCTTCAATGCCTGTTTCATTTGCAGATACAGTTGACTTCATCGACACTGAAGATTCAGGTATAGAGAAGGGTGTCATCGATAGACCAAGACCAGGCAGCCCAGTGCCAGCTGATGGTGATACTGAAGCTTCCATATATGTCGTTTCTCCTTTTTCGCCCAATTTTTTACATTCCTCTTCTTCCTCTTCTTGAATTCTTCCTTCAATGCCTGTTTCATTTGCAGATACAGTTGACTTCATCGACACTGAAGATTCAGGTATAGAGAAGGGTGTCATCGATAGACCAAGACCAGGCAGCCCAGTGCCAGCTGATGGTGATACTGAAGCTTCCATATATGTCGTTTCTCCTTTTTCGCCCAATTTTTTGTATTCCTCCTCTTCTTCCTCTTCTTGAATTCTTCCTTCAATGCCTGTTTCATTTGCAGATACAGTTGACTTCATCGACACTGAAGATTCAGGTATAGAGAAGGGTGTCATCGATAGACCAAGACCAGGCAGCCCAGTGCCAGCTGATGGTGATACTGAAGCTTCCATATATGTCGTTTCTCCTTTTTCGCCCAATTTTTTGTATTCCTCCTCTTCTTCCTCTTCTTGAATTCTTCCTTCAATGCCTGTTTCATTTGCAGATACAGTTGACTTCATCGACACTGAAGATTCAGGTATAGAGAAGGGTGTCATCGATAGACCAAGACCAGGCAGCCCAGTGCCAGCTGATGGTGATACTGAAGCTTCCATATATGTCGTTTCTCCCTTTTCTCCCAGTCTTTTCATTTCTTCTTCCTCTTCTTGAATTCTTTCCTCAATTCCTGTTTCATTTGCAGATACAGTTGACTTCATCGACACTGAAGATTCAGGTATAGAGAAAGGTGTCATCGATAGACCAAGACCAGGCAGCCCAGTGCCAGCTGATGGTGATACTGAAGCTTCCATATATGTCGTTTCTCCTTTTTCGCCTTTTTTGTTATCCCTTCTTCCTCTTCTTGAATCTTCCTTCAATCCTGTTTCATTTGCAGATACAGTTGACTTCATCGACACTGAAGATTCAGGTATAGAGAAGGGTGTCATCGATAGACCAAGACCAGGCAGCCCAGTGCCAGCTGATGGTGATACTGAAGCTTCCATATATGTCGTTTCTCCTTTTCGCCAATTTTTGTATTCCTGTTCTTCTTCCTCTTCTTGAATTCTTCCTTCAATGCCTGTTTCATTTGCAGATACAGTTGACTTCATCGACACTGAAGATTCAGGTATAGAGAAGGGTGTCATCGATAGACCAAGACCAGGCAGCCCAGTGCCAGCTGATGGTGATACTGAAGCTTCCATATATGTCGTTTCTCCCTTTTCTCCCAGTCGTTTCATTTCTTCTTCCTCTTCTTGAATCCTTCCTTCAGTGCCTGTTTCATTTGCAGATACAGTTGACTTCATCGACACTGAAGATTCAGGCATAGAGAAAGGTGTCATCGATAGACCAAGACCAGGCAGGCCAGTGCCAGTTGATGGTGATACTGAAGCTTCCATATATGTCGTTTCTCCTTTTTCGCCCAATTTTTTGTATTCCTGTTCTTCTTCCTCTTCTTGAATTCTTCCTTCAATGCCTGTTTCATTTGCAGATACAGTTGACTTCATCGACACTGAAGATTCAGGTATAGAGAAGGGTGTCATCGATAGACCAAGACCAGGCAGCCCAGTGCCAGCTGATGGTGATACTGAAGCTTCCATATATGTCGTTTCTCCCTTTTCTCCCAGTCGTTTCATTTCTTCTTCCTCTTCTTGAATTCTTTCCTCAATTCCTGTTTCATTTGCAGATACAGTTGACTTCATCGACACTGAAGATTCAGGTATAGAGAAGGGTGTCATCGATAGACCAAGACCAGGCAGCCCAGTGCCAGCTGATGGTGATACTGAAGCTTCCATATATGTCGTTTCTCCTTTTTCGCCCAGTTTTTTGTATTCCTGTTCTTCTTCCTCTTCTTGAATTCTTCCTTCAATGCCTGTTTCATTTGCAGATACAGTTGACTTCATCGACACTGAAGATTCAGGTATAGAGAAGGGTGTCATCGATAGACCAAGACCAGGCAGCCCAGTGCCAGCTGATGGTGATACTGAAGCTTCCATATATGTCGTTTCTCCTTTTTCGCCCAATTTTTTGTATTCCTGTTCTTCTTCCTCTTCTTGAATTCTTCCTTCAATGCCTGTTTCATTTGCAGATACAGTTGACTTCATCGACACTGAAGATTCAGGTATAGAGAAGGGTGTCATCGATAGACCAAGACCAGGCAGCCCAGTGCCAGCTGATGGTGATACTGAAGCTTCCATATATGTCGTTTCTCCTTTTTCGCCCAATTTTTTGTATTCCTGTTCTTCTTCCTCTTCTTGAATTCTTCCTTCAATGCCTGTTTCATTTGCAGATACAGTTGACTTCATCGACACTGAAGATTCAGGTATAGAGAAGGGTGTCATCGATAGACCAAGACCAGGCAGCCCAGTGCCAGCTGATGGTGATACTGAAGCTTCCATATATGTCGTTTCTCCCTTTTCTCCCAGTCTTTTCATTTCTTCTTCCTCTTCTTGAATTCTTTCCTCAATTCCTGTTTCATTTGCAGATACAGTTGACTTCATCGACACTGAAGATTCAGGTATAGAGAAAGGTGTCATCGATAGACCAAGACCAGGCAGCCCAGTGCCAGCTGATGGTGATACTGAAGCTTCCATATATGTCGTTTCTCCTTTTTCACCCAATTTTTTGTATTCCTCCTCTTCTTCCTCTTCTTGAATTCTTCCTTCAATGCCTGTTTCATTTGCAGATACAGTTGACTTCATCGACACTGAAGATTCAGGTATAGAGAAGGGTGTCATCGATAGACCAAGACCAGGCAGCCCAGTGCCAGCTGATGGTGATACTGAAGCTTCCATATATGTCGTTTCTCCCTTTTCTCCCAGTCTTTTCATTTCTTCTTCCTCTTCTTGAATTCTTTCCTCAATTCCTGTTTCAATGCCTGTTTCATTTGCAGATACAGTTGACTTCATCGACACTGAAGATTCAGGTATAGAGAAGGGTGTCATCGATAGACCAAGACCAGGCAGCCCAGTGCCAGCTGATGGTGATACTGAAGCTTCCATATATGTCGTTTCTCCTTTTTCGCCCAATTTTTTGTATTCCTGTTCTTCTTCCTCTTCTTGAATTCTTCCTTCAATGCCTGTTTCATTTGCAGATACAGTTGACTTCATCGACACTGAAGATTCAGGTATAGAGAAGGGTGTCATCGATAGACCAAGACCAGGCAGCCCAGTGCCAGCTGATGGTGATACTGAAGCTTCCATATATGTCGTTTCTCCCTTTTCTCCCAGTCGTTTCATTTCTTCTTCCTCTTCTTGAATTCTTTCCTCAATTCCTGTTTCATTTGCAGATACAGTTGACTTCATCGACACTGAAGATTCAGGCATAGAGAAAGGTGTCATCGATAGACCAAGACCAGGCAGCCCAGTGCCAGCTGATGGTGATACTGAAGCTTCCATATATGTCGTTTCTCCTTTACAATTCTTTTGTATTCCTCTTCTTCCTCTTCTTGAATCCTTCCTTCAACGCCTGTTTCATTTGCAGATACAGTTGACTTCATCCACACTGAAGATTCAGGTATAGAGAAGGGTGTCATCGATAGACCAAGACCAGGCAGCCCAGTGCCAGCTGATGGTGATACTGAAGCTTCCATATATGTCGTTTCTCCCTTTTCTCCCAGTCTTTTCATTTCTTCTTCCTCTTCTTGAATCCTTCCTTCAATGCCTGTTTCATTTGCAGATACAGTTGACTTCATCGACACTGAAGATTCAGGTATAGAGAAGGGTGTCATCGATAGACCAAGACCAGGCAGCCCAGTGCCAGCTGATGGTGATACTGAAGCTTCCATATATGTTGTTTCTCCTTTTTCGCCCAATTTTTTGTATTCCTGTTCTTCTTCCTCTTCTTGAATCCTTCCTTCAATGCCTGTTTCATTTGCAGATACAGTTGACTTCATCGACACTGAAGATTCAGGTATAGAGAAGGGTGTCATCGATAGACCAAGACCAGGCAGCCCAGTGCCAGCTGATGGTGATACTGAAGCTTCCATATATGTCGTTTCTCCTTTTTCGCCCAATTTTTTGTATTCCTCCTCTTCTTCCTCTTCTTGAATCCTTCCTTCAATTCCTGTTTCATTTGCAGATACAGTTGACTTCATCGACACTGAAGATTCAGGTATAGAGAAGGGTGTCATCGATAGACCAAGACCAGGCAGCCCAGTGCCAGCTGATGGTGATACTGAAGCTTCCATATATGTCGTTTCTCCTTTTTCGCCCAATTTTTTGTATTCCTCCTCTTCTTCCTCTTCTTGAATTCTTCCTTCAATGCCTGTTTCATTTGCAGATACAGTTGACTTCATCGACACTGAAGATTCAGGTATAGAGAAGGGTGTCATCGATAGACCAAGACCAGGCAGCCCAGTGCCAGCTGATGGTGATACTGAAGCTTCCATATATGTCGTTTCTCCTTTTTCGCCCAATTTTTGTATTCCTCCTTTCTTCCTCTTCTTGAATCCTTCCTTCAATTCCTGTTTCATTTGCAGATACAGTTGACTTCATCGACACTGAAGATTCAGGTATAGAGAAGGGTGTCATCGATAGACCAAGACCAGGCAGCCCAGTGCCAGCTGATGGTGATACTGAAGCTTCCATATATGTCGTTTCTCCTTTTCGCCACAATTTTTTGTATTCTCTCTTCTCTTCTTGAATTCTTCCTTCAATGCCTGTTTCATTTGCAGATACAGTTGACTTCATCGACACTGAAGATCAGGTATAGAGAAAGGTGTCATCGATAGACCAAGACCAGGCAGCCCAGTGCCAGCTGATGGTGATACTGAAGCTTCCATATATGTCGTTTCTCCTTTTTCGCCCAATTTTTGTATTCCTGTTCTTCTTCCTCTTCTTGAATTCTTCCTTCAATGCCTGTTTCATTTGCAGATACAGTTGACTTCATCGACACTGAAGATTCAGGTATAGAGAAGGGTGTCATCGATAGACCAAGACCAGGCAGCCCAGTGCCAGCTGATGGTGATACTGAAGCTTCCATATATGTCGTTTCTCCCTTTTCTCCCAGTCTTTTCATTTCTTCTTCCTCTTCTTGAATTCTTTCCTCAATTCCTGTTTCATTTGCAGATACAGTTGACTTCATCGACACTGAAGATTCAGGTATAGAGAAAGGTGTCATCGATAGACCAAGACCAGGCAGCCCAGTGCCAGCTGATGGTGATACTGAAGCTTCCATATATGTCGTTTCTCCTTTTTCGCCCAATTTCTTTGTATTCCTTCTTCCTCTTCTTGAATCCTTCCTTCAATTCCTGTTTCATTTGCAGATACAGTTGACTTCATCGACACTGAAGATTCAGGTATAGAGAAGGGTGTCATCGATAGACCAAGACCAGGCAGCCCAGTGCCAGCTGATGGTGATACTGAAGCTTCCATATATGTCGTTTCTCCTTTTTCGCCCAATTTTTTGTATTCCTGTTCTTCTTCCTCTTCTTGAATTCTTCCTTCAATGCCTGTTTCATTTGCAGATACAGTTGACTTCATCGACACTGAAGATTCAGGTATAGAGAAGGGTGTCATCGATAGACCAAGACCAGGCAGCCCAGTGCCAGCTGATGGTGATACTGAAGCTTCCATATATGTCGTTTCTCCCTTTTCTCCCAGTCGTTTCATTTCTTCTTCCTCTTCTTGAATCCTTCCTTCAATGCCTGTTTCATTTGCAGATACAGTTGACTTCATCGACACTGAAGATTCAGGCATAGAGAAAGGTGTCATCGATAGACCAAGACCAGGCAGCCCAGTGCCAGCTGATGGTGATACTGAAGCTTCCATATATGTCGTTTCTCCTTTTTCGCCCAATTTTTTGTATTCCTCCTCTTCTTCCTCTTCTTGAATCCTTCCTTCAATTCCTGTTTCATTTGCAGATACAGTTGACTTCATCGACACTGAAGATTCAGGTATAGAGAAGGGTGTCATCGATAGACCAAGACCAGGCAGCCCAGTGCCAGCTGATGGTGATACTGAAGCTTCCATATATGTCGTTTCTCCCTTTTCTCCCAGTCGTTTCATTTCTTCTTCCTCTTCTTGAATCCTTCCTTCAATGCCTGTTTCATTTGCAGATACAGTTGACTTCATCGACACTGAAGATTCAGGCATAGAGAAAGGTGTCATCGATAGACCAAGACCAGGCAGCCCAGTGCCAGCTGATGGTGATACTGAAGCTTCCATATATGTCGTTTCTCCCTTTTCTCCCAGTCTTTTCATTTCTTCTTCCTCTTCTTGAATCCTTCCTTCAATTCCTGTTTCATTTGCAGATACAGTTGACTTCATCGACACTGAAGATTCAGGTATAGAGAAGGGTGTCATCGATAGACCAAGGCCAGGCAGCCCAGTGCCAGCTGATGGTGATACTGAAGCTTCCATATATGTCGTTTCTCCTTTTTCGCCCAATTTTTTGTATTCCTCCTCTTCTTCCTCTTCTTGAATTCTTCCTTCAATGCCTGTTTCATTTGCAGATACAGTTGACTTCATCGACACTGAAGATTCAGGTATAGAGAAGGGTGTCATCGATAGACCAAGACCAGGCAGCCCAGTGCCAGCTGATGGTGATACTGAAGCTTCCATATATGTCGTTTCTCCTTTTTCGCCCAATTTTTTGTATTCCTCCTCTTCTTCCTCTTCTTGAATTCGTCCTTCAATGCCTGTTTCATTTGCAGATACAGTTGACTTCATCGACACTGAAGATTCAGGTATAGAGTAGGGTGTCATCGATAGACCAAGACCAGGCATCCCAGTGCCAGCTGATGGTGATACTGAAGCTTCCATATATGTTGTTTCTCCTTTTTCGCCCAATTTTTTGTATTCCTGTTCTTCTTCCTCTTCTTGAATCCTTCCTTCAATGCCTGTTTCATTTGCAGATACAGTTGACTTCATCGACACTGAAGATTCAGGTATAGAGAAGGGTGTCATCGATAGACCAAGACCAGGCAGCCCAGTGCCAGCTGATGGTGATACTGAAGCTTCCATATATGTCGTTTCTCCTTTTTCGCCCAATTTTTTGTATTCCTGTTCTTCTTCCTCTTCTTGAATTCTTTCCTCAATTCCTGTTTCATTTGCAGATACAGTTGACTTCATCGACACTGAAGATTCAGGTACAGAGAAAGGTGTCATCGATAGACCAAGACCAGGCAGCCCAGTGCCAGTTGATGGTGATACTGAAGCTTCCATATATGTCGTTTCTCCTTTTTCGCCCAATTTTTTGTATTCCTGTTCTTCTTCCTCTTCTTGAATTCTTCCTTCAATGCCTGTTTCATTTGCAGATACAGTTGACTTCATCGACACTGAAGATTCAGGTATAGAGAAGGGTGTCATCGATAGACCAAGACCAGGCAGCCCAGTGCCAGCTGATGGTGATACTGAAGCTTCCATATATGTCGTTTCTCCCTTTTCTCCCAGTCGTTTCATTTCTTCTTCCTCTTCTTGAATCCTTCCTTCAATGCCTGTTTCATTTGCAGATACAGTTGACTTCATCGACACTGAAGATTCAGGCATAGAGAAAGGTGTCATCGATAGACCAAGACCAGGCAGCCCAGTGCCAGCTGATGGTGATACTGAAGCTTCCATATATGTCGTTTCTCCTTTTTCGCCCAATTTTTTGTATTCCTCCTCTTCTTCCTCTTCTTGAATCCTTCCTTCAATTCCTGTTTCATTTGCAGATACAGTTGACTTCATCGACACTGAAGATTCAGGTATAGAGAAGGGTGTCATCGATAGACCAAGGCCAGGCAGCCCAGTGCCAGCTGATGGTGATACTGAAGCTTCCATATATGTCGTTTCTCCTTTTTCGCCCAATTTTTTGTATTCCTCCTCTTCTTCCTCTTCTTGAATCCTTCCTTCAATGCCTGTTTCATTTGCAGATACAGTTGACTTCATCGACACTGAAGATTCAGGTATAGAGAAGGGTGTCATCGATAGACCAAGACCAGGCAGCCCAGTGCCAGCTGATGGTGATACTGAAGCTTCCATATATGTCGTTTCTCCTTTTCGCCCAATTTTTTGTATTCCTGTTCTTCTTCTCTTCTTGAATTCTTCCTTCAATGCCTGTTTCATTTGCAGATACAGTTGACTTCATCGACACTGAAGATTCAGGTATAGAGAAGGGTGTCATCGATAGACCAAGACCAGGCAGCCCAGTGCCAGCTGATGGTGATACTGAAGCTTCCATATATGTCGTTTCTCCCTTTTCTCCCAGTCGTTTCATTTCTTCTTCCTCTTCTTGAATTCTTTCCTCAATTCCTGTTTCATTTGCAGATACAGTTGACTTCATCGACACTGAAGATTCAGGCATAGAGAAAGGTGTCATCGATAGACCAAGACCAGGCAGCCCAGTGCCAGCTGATGGTGATACTGAAGCTTCCATATATGTCGTTTCTCCTTTTTCACCCAATTCTTTTGTATTCCTCTCTTCTTCCTCTTCTTGAATTCTTCCTTCAATGCCTGTTTCATTTGCAGATACAGTTGACTTCATCGACACTGAAGATTCAGGTATAGAGAAGGGTGTCATCGATAGACCAAGACCAGGCAGCCCAGTGCCAGCTGATGGTGATACTGAAGCTTCCATATATGTCGTTTCTCCTTTTTCGCCCAATTTTTTGTATTCCTGTTCTTCTTCCTCTTCTTGAATTCTTCCTTCAATGCCTGTTTCATTTGCAGATACAGTTGACTTCATCGACACTGAAGATTCAGGTATAGAGAAGGGTGTCATCGATAGACCAAGACCAGGCAGCCCAGTGCCAGCTGATGGTGATACTGAAGCTTCCATATATGTCGTTTCTCCCTTTTCTCCCAGTCTTTTCATTTCTTCTTCCTCTTCTTGAATTCTTTCCTCAATTCCTGTTTCATTTGCAGATACAGTTGACTTCATCGACACTGAAGATTCAGGTACAGAGAAAGGTGTCATCGATAGACCAAGACCAGGCACCCCAGTGCCAGTTGATGGTGATACTGAAGCTTCCATATATGTCGTTTCTCCTTTTTCGCCCAATTTTTTGTATTCCTGTTCTTCTTCCTCTTCTTGAATTCTTCCTTCAATGCCTGTTTCATTTGCAGATACAGTTGACTTCATCGACACTGAAGATTCAGGCATAGAGAAGGGTGTCATCGATAGACCAAGACCAGGCAGCCCAGTGCCAGCTGATGGTGATACTGAAGCTTCCATATATGTCGTTTCTCCTTTTTCGCCCAATTTTTTGTATTCCTCCTCTTCTTCCTCTTCTTGAATCCTTCCTTCAATTCCTGTTTCATTTGCAGATACAGTTGACTTCATCGACACTGAAGATTCAGGTATAGAGAAGGGTGTCATCGATTGACCAAGGCCAGGCAGCCCAGTGCCAGCTGATGGTGATACTGAAGCTTCCATATATGTCGTTTCTCCTTTTTCGCCCAATTTTTTGTATTCCTCCTCTTCTTCCTCTTCTTGAATTCTTCCTTCAATGCCTGTTTCATTTGCAGACACACTTGACTTCATCGACACTGAAGATTCAGGTATAGAGAAAGGTGTCATCGATAGACCAAGACCAGGCAGCCCAGTGCCAGCTGACGGTGATACTGAAGCTTCCATATATGTCGTTTCTCCCTTTTCTCCCAGTCTTTTCATTTCTTCTTCCTCTTCTTGAATTCTTTCCTCAATTCCTGTTTCATTTGCAGATACAGTTGACTTCATCGACACTGAAGATTCAGGCATAGAGAAAGGTGTCATCGATAGACCAAGACCAGGCAGCCCAGTGCCAGCTGATGGTGATACTGAAGCTTCCATATATGTCGTTTCTCCTTTTTCGCCGAATTTTTTGTATTCCTGTTCTTCTTCCTCTTCTTGAATTCGTCCTTCAATGCCTGTTTCATTTGCAGATACAGTTGACTTCATCGACACTGAAGATTCAGGTATAGAGAAGGGTGTCATCGATAGACCAAGACCAGGCAGCCCAGTGCCAGCTGATGGTGATACTGAAGCTTCCATATATGTCGTTTCTCCCTTTTCTCCCAGTCTTTTCATTTCTTCTTCCTCTTCTTGAATTTTTTCCTCAATTCCTGTTTCATTTGCAGATACAGTTGACTTCATCGACACTGAAGATTCAGGTATAGAGAAGGGTGTCATCGATAGACCAAGACCAGGCAGCCCAGTGCCAGCTGATGGTGATACTGAAGCTTCCATATATGTCGTTTCTCCTTTTCGCCCAATTTTTTGTATTCCTGTTCTTCTTCCTCTTCTTGAATTCGTCCTTCAATGCCTGTTTCATTTGCAGATACAGTTGACTTCATCGACACTGAAGATTCAGGTATAGAGAAGGGTGTCATCGATAGACCAAGACCAGGCAGCCCAGTGCCAGCTGATGGTGATACTGAAGCTTCCATATATGTCGTTTTCCTCTTTTCTTTTCGCAATTTTTGTTGTATTCCTGTTCTTCTTCCTCTTCTTGAATTCGTCCTTCAATGCCTGTTTCATTTGCAGATACAGTTGACTTCATCGACACTGAAGATTCAGGTATAGAGAAGGGTGTCATCGATAGACCAAGACCAGGCAGCCCAGTGCCAGCTGATGGTGATACTGAAGCTTCCATATATGTCGTTTCTCCTTTTCTCCCATGTTTGTATTCCACTTCTTCTTCCTCTTCTTGAATTTTTTCCTCAATTCCTGTTTCATTTGCAGATACAGTTGACTTCATCGACACTGAAGATTCAGGTATAGAGAAGGGTGTCATCGATAGACCAAGACCAGGCAGCCCAGTGCCAGCTGATGGTGATACTGAAGCTTCCATATATGTCGTTTCTCCTTTTTCGCCCAATTTTTTGTATTCCTGTTCTTCTTCCTCTTCTTGAATTCTTCCTTCAATGCCTGTTTCATTTGCAGATACAGTTGACTTCATCGACACTGAAGATTCAGGTATAGAGAAGGGTGTCATCGATAGACCAAGACCAGGCAGCCCAGTGCCAGCTGATGGTGATACTGAAGCTTCCATATATGTCGTTTCTCCTTTTTCGCCCAATTTTTTGTATTCCTGTTCTTCTTCCTCTTCTTGAATTCTTCCTTCAATGCCTGTTTCATTTGCAGATATAGTTGACTTCAGCGACATTGAAGATTCAGGTATAGAGAAGGGTGTCATCGATAGACCAAGACCAGGCAGCCCAGTGCCAGCTGATGGTGATACTGAAGCTTCCATATATGTCGTTTCTCCCTTTTCTCCCAGTCGTTTCATTTCTTCTTCCTCTTCTTGAATTCTTTCCTCAATTCCTGTTTCATTTGCAGATACAGTTGACTTTATCGACACTGAAGATTCAGGTATAGAGAAAGGTGTCATCGATAGACCAAGACCAGGCAGCCCAGTGCCAGCTGATGGTGATACTGAAGCTTCCATATATGTCGTTTCTCCTTTTTCGCCCAATTTTTTGTATTCCTCCTCTTCTTTTTCTTCTTGAATTCTTCCTTCAACGCCTGTTTCATTTGCAGATACAGCTGACTTCATCGACACTGAAGATTCAGGCATAGAGAAGGGTGTCATCGATAGACCAAGACCAGGCAGCCCAGTGCCAGCTGATGGTGATACTGAAGCTTCCATATATGTCGTTTCTCCTTTTTCGCCTAATTTTTTGTATTCCTGTTCTTCTTCCTCTTCTTGAATTCTTCCTTCAATGCCTGTTTCATTTGCAGATGCAGTTGACTTCATCGACATTGAAGATTCAGGTATAGAGAAGGGTGTCATCGATAGACCAAGACCAGGCAGCCCAGCGCCAGCTGATGGTGATACTGAAGCTTCCATATATGTCGTTTCTCCCTTTTCTCCCAGTCGTTTCATTTCTTCTTCCTCTTCTTGAATTCTTTCCTCAATTCCTGTTTCATTTGCAGATACAGCTGACTTCATCGACACTGAAGATTCAGGCATAGAGAAAGGTGTCATCGATAGACCAAGACCAGGCAGCCCAGTGCCAGCTGATGGTGATACTGAAGCTTCCATATATGTCGTTTCTCCTTTTTCGCCCAATTTTTTGTATTCCTCCTCTTCTTTTTCTTCTTGAATTCTTCCTTCAACGCCTGTTTCATTTGCAGATACAGTTGACTTCATCGACACTGAAGATTCAGGCATAGAGAAGGGTGTCATCGATAGACCAAGACCAGGCAGCCCAGTGCCAGCTGATGGTGATACTGAAGCTTCCATATATGTCGTTTCTCCTTTTTCGCCCAATTTTTTGTATTCCTGTTCTTCTTCCTCTTCCTGAATTCTTCCTTCAATGCCTGTTTCATTTGCAGATGCAGTTGACTTCATCGACACTGAAGATTCAGGTATAGAGAAAGGTGTCATCGATAGACCAAGACCAGGCAGCCCAGTGCCAGCTGATGGTGATACTGAAGCTTCCATATATGTCGTTTCTCCTTTTTCGCCCAATTTTTTGTATTCCTGTTCTTCTTCCTCTTCTTGAATTCGTCCTTCAATGCCTGTTTCATTTGCAGATACAGCTGACTTCATCGACACTGAAGATTCAGGTATAGAGAAAGGTGTCATCGATAGACCAAGACCAGGCAGCCCAGTGCCAGCTGATGGTGATACTGAAGCTTCCATATATGTCGTTTCTCCTTTTTCGCCCAATTTTTTGTATTCCTCCTCTTCTTTTTCTTCTTGAATTCTTCCTTCAACGCCTGTTTCATTTGCAGATACAGTTGACTTCATCGACACTGAAGATTCAGGTATAGAGAAAGGTGTCATCGATAGACCAAGACCAGGCAGCCCAGTGCCAGCTGATGGTGATACTGAAGCCTCCATATATGTCGTTTCTCCTTTTTCGCCCAATTTTTTGTATTCCTGTTCTTCTTCCTCTTCCTGAATTCTTCCTTCAATGCCTGTTTCATTTGCAGATACAGCTGACTTCATCGACACTGAAGATTCAGGCATAGAGAAAGGTGTCATCGATAGACCAAGACCAGGCAGCCCAGTGCCAGCTGATGGTGATACTGAAGCTTCCATATATGTCGTTTCTCCTTTTTCGCCCAATTTTTTGTATTCCTCCTCTTCTTTTTCTTCTTGAATTCTTCCTTCAACGCCTGTTTCATTTGCAGATACAGTTGACTTCATCGACACTGAAGATTCAGGCATAGAGAAGGGTGTCATCGATAGACCAAGACCAGGCAGCCCAGTGCCAGCTGATGGTGATACTGAAGCTTCCATATATGTCGTTTCTCCTTTTTCGCCTAATTTTTTGTATTCCTGTTCTTCTTCCTCTTCTTGAATTCTTCCTTCAATGCCTGTTTCATTTGCAGATGCAGTTGACTTCATCGACATTGAAGATTCAGGTATAGAGAAGGGTGTCATCGATAGACCAAGACCAGGCAGCCCAGCGCCAGCTGATGGTGATACTGAAGCTTCCATATATGTCGTTTCTCCCTTTTCTCCCAGTCGTTTCATTTCTTCTTCCTCTTCTTGAATTCTTTCCTCAATTCCTGTTTCATTTGCAGATACAGCTGACTTCATCGACACTGAAGATTCAGGTATAGAGAAAGGTGTCATCGATAGACCAAGACCAGGCAGCCCAGTGCCAGCTGATGGTGATACTGAAGCTTCCATATATGTCGTTTCTCCCTTTTCTCCCAGTCGTTTCATTTCTTCTTCCTCTTCTTGAATTCTTTCCTCAATTCCTGTTTCATTTGCAGATACAGTTGACTTCATCGACACTGAAGATTCAGGCATAGAGAAAGGTGTCATCGATAGACCAAGACCAGGCAGCCCAGTGCCAGCTGATGATGATACTGAAGCTTCCATATATGTCGTTTCTCCTTTTTCGCCGAATTTTTTGTATTCCTGTTCTTCTTCCTCTTCTTGAATTCGTCCTTCAATGCCTGTTTCATTTGCAGATACAGCTGACTTCATCGACACTGAAGATTCAGGTATAGAGAAGGGTGTCATCGATAGACCAAGACCAGGCAGCCCAGTGCCAGCTGATGGTGATACTGAAGCTTCCATATATGTCGTTTCTCCCTTTTCTCCCAGTCTTTTCATTTCTTCTTCCTCTTCTTGAATTCTTTCCTCAATTCCTGTTTCATTTGCAGATACAGTTGACTTCATCGACACTGAAGATTCAGGCATAGAGAAAGGTGTCATCGATAGACCAAGACCAGGCAGCCCAGTGCCAGCTGATGGTGATACTGAAGCTTCCATATATGTCGTTTCTCCTTTTTCGCCCAATTTTTTGTATTCCTGTTCTTCTTCCTCTTCTTGAATTCGTCCTTCAATGCCTGTTTCATTTCCAGATACAGCTGACTTCATCGACACTGAAGATTCAGGTATAGAGAAACGTGTCATCGATAGACCAAGACCAGGCAGCCCAGTGCCAGCTGATGGTGATACTGAAGCTTCCATATATGTCGTTTCTCCCTTTTCTCCCAGTCGTTTCATTTCTTCTTCCTCTTCTTGAATTCTTTCCTCAATTCCTGTTTCATTTGCAGATACAGTTGACTTCATCGACACTGAAGATTCAGGCATAGAGAAAGGTGTCATCGATAGACTAAGACCAGGCAGCCCAGTGCCAGCTGATGGTGATACTGAAGCTTCCATATATGTCGTTTCTCCTTTTTCACCCAATTTTTTGTATTCCTCCTCTTCTTCCTCTTCTTGAATCCTTCCTTCAACGCCTGTTTCATTTGCAGATACAGTTGACTTCATCGACACTGAAGATTCAGGTATAGAGAAGGGTGTCATCGATAGACCAAGACCAGGCAGCCCAGTGCCAGCTGATGGTGATACTGAAGCTTCCATATATGTCGTTTCTCCTTTTTCGCCCAATTTTTTGTATTCCTCCTCTTCTTCCTCTTCTTGAATTCTTCCTTCAATGCCTGTTTCATTTGCAGATACAGTTGACTTCATCGACACTGAAGATTCAGGTATAGAGAAGGGTGTCATCGATAGACCAAGACTAGGCAGCCCAGTGCCAGCTGATGGTGATACTGAAGCTTCCATATATGTCGTTTCGCCCTTTTCTCCCAGTCTTTTCATTTCTTCTTCCTCTTCTTGAATTCTTTCCTCAATTCCTGTTTCATTTGCAGATACAGTTGACTTCATCCACACTGAAGATTCAGGTATAGAGAAAGGTGTCATCGATAGACCAAGCAGCCCAGTGCCAGCTGATGGTGATACTGAAGCTTCCATATATGTCGTTTCTCCTTTTTCGCCCAATTTTTTGTATTCCTCCTCTTCTTCCTCTTCTTGAATCCTTCCTTCAACGCCTGTTTCATTTGCAGATACAGTTGACTTCATCGACACTGAAGATTCAGGTATAGAGAAGGGTGTCATCGATAGACCAAGACCAGGCAGCCCAGTGCCAGCTGATGGTGATACTGAAGCTTCCATATATGTCGTTTCTCCTTTTTCGCCCAATTTTTTGTATTCCTCCTCTTCTTCCTCTTCTTGAATCCTTCCTTCAATTCCTGTTTCATTTGCAGATACAGCTGACTTCATCGACACTGAAGATTCAGGTATAGAGAAAGGTGTCATCGATGGACCAAGACCAAGCAGCCCAGTGCCTGCCGATGGTGATACTGAAGCTTCCATATATGTCTTTTCTCCTTTTTCGCCCAATTTTTTGTATTCCTCCTCTTCTTCCTCTTCTTGAATTCTTCCTTCAATGCCTGTTTCATTTGCAGGTACAGTTGACTTCATCGACACTGAAGATTCAGGTATAGAGAAGGGTGTCATCGATAGACCAAGACCAGGCAGCCCAGTGCCAGCTGATGGTGATACTGAAGCTTCCATATATGTCGTTTCTCCCTTTTCTCCCAGTCTTTTCATTTCTTCTTCCTCTTCTTGAATTCTTTCCTCAATTCCTGTTTCATTTGCAGATACAGTTGACTTCATCGACACTGAAGATTCAGGTATAGAGAAAGGTGTCATCGATAGACCAAGACCAGGCAGCCCAGTGCCAGCTGATGGTGATACTGAAGCTTCCATATATGTCGTTTCTCCTTTTTCGCCCAATTTTTTGTATTCCTGTTCTTCTTCCTCTTCTTGAATTCGTCCTTCAATGCCTGTTTCATTTGCAGATACAGTTGACTTCATCGACACTGAAGATTCAGGTATAGAGAAGGGTGTCATCGATAGACCAAGACCTGGCAGCCCTGTGCTAGCTGATGGTGATACTGAAGCTTCCATATATGTCGTTTCTCCCTTTTCTCCCAGTCGTTTCATTTCTTCTTCCTCTTCTTGAATTCTTTCCTCAATTCCTGTTTCATTTGCAGATACAGTTGACTTCATCGACACTGAAGATTCAGGTATAGAGAAAGGTGTCATCGATAGACCAAGACCAGGCAGCCCAGTGCCAGCTGATGGTGATACTGAAGCTTCCATATATGTCGTTTCTCCCTTTTCTCCCAGTCTTTTCATTTCTTCTTCCTCTTCTTGAATTCTTTCCTCAATTCCTGTTTCATTTGCAGATACAGTTGACTTCATCGACACTGAAGATTCAGGCATAGAGAAAGGTGTCATCGATAGACCAAGACCAGGCAGCCCAGTGCCAGTTGATGGTGATACTGAAGCTTCCATATATGTCGTTTCTCCTTTTTCGCCCAATTTTTTGTATTCCTGTTCTTCTTCCTCTTCTTGAATTCTTCCTTCAATGCCTGTTTCATTTGCAGATACAGTTGACTTCATCGACACTGAAGATTCAGGTATAGAGAAAGGTGTCATCGATAGACCAAGACCAGCCAGCCCAGTGCCAGTTGATGGTGATACTGAAGCTTCCATATATGTCGTTTCTCCTTTTTCGCCCAATTTTTTGTATTCCTGTTCTTCTTCCTCTTCTTGAATTCTTCCTTCAATTCCTGTTTCATTTGCAGATACACTTGACTTCATCGACACTGAAGATTCAGGTATAGAGAAAGGTGTCATCGATGGACCAAGACCAAGCAGCCCAGTGCCTGCCGATGGTGATACTGAAGCTTCCATATATGTCGTTTCTCCCTTTTCTCCCAGTCTTTTCATTTCTTCTTCCTCTTCTTGAATTCTTTCCTCAATTCCTGTTTCATTTGCAGATACAGTTGACTTCATCGACACTGAAGATTCAGGTATAGAGAAAGGTGTCATCGATAGACCAAGACCTGGCAGCCCTGTGCTAGCTGATGGTGATACTGAAGCTTCCATATATGTCGTTTTTCCCTTTTCTCCTAGTTCCTGATGTTGAATGATTTTTTCTAATTCTTCCAGAATTTTTTCTTCAATATCGTTTTCATTTATAGCTTGAGTTGTGCTCATCAATATGTATGTTGAGGGTTTTGTTCCTTTATGCTCTTCTGAATGGTGTTTGCTGGTTTTGTCGGTTTTCCAAATTTCAGTGTTGTACGTCGTTTCTTCCGCGATCGTCCAAGTAGATGATTCTGCAGATGTTGCAGTGTTTTTATCTTTTTCGGTTTGTGGAATGCAGGAACAGGTGCATGTGCATTGATTCTTTTTGATCTCTTTCATAAATGAATATTCTGAAATTGATAATTGTTAGTTTTGTTTTATATTGAAAGGGTTTACGATTCTTATCTTTTTCCTTGCATTTTTTTCTTGAGTTCTGCATCATTTTTTTTTTGTGTATTTCTGTGGCTATGGCATGTTTTTAGATATTTCCTGCTTGGTCCTGAAGTTTTTTGATTTCTGCGATTATTTGAAGTTTTTCTGAAAATTAGAATCATCTATGAATTAATCTTGTAGTGCTTTTTGTTTTGCATTTTTTTAAGTCTCTCTCTGATGTGCAGGCCTTACTTGTGGTTTTTTTATCTTGGCTTACTCTTCGTTCTCTGCTTGTGATTTTTGATCATAGGGAAATTCTCTTTTTTAGTTAATATCTATTTGTCCTTTAACTACTCTTCAATTCCTTCTTTCCCACTCCAGGGAAGATTATGTTTAATGGAAGTGTTTTACTTCTTTCTCATAACGGTTTTAATAATGTTGCTGGAAGTTATTTCAAATATCTGCTTCACGTTTTATCATCTTTCCCTTATCTGATTGCAAAATCCTTAAACTTTCCGGGAAGTACAACTCTATTCTTAGGAAGTATTTAATAACTTGTGCTAACATTGCATTTTTATTGTTTACAGTTGTTTTAAAGGAGGAGCAGATTATTTTTTCTTTGAGGCTTGTTTTAAAGACTGATTTCGTAGAATTTAGTAAACTTGCTTACTGATTTCTAACCTAATAATTCATGTGTTTTGTTCACAAAACCTACTTCCATCTTTATACCTGTCGTATTTAATTTGTTTTAATTTTTTTAGTGTTTCTTATCAGGTTCTAGTCCTTAAGAGTCTTAAAATCTTGGTTTTAGCTTATTTTTGCTTGAACAGTAAACAAAATTTGAAACTGAGAAAAGATCGAAACCTTTCTGTCCATTTGCATGTGCTTTTTTATGTAATGCAGATTCGGTGGATATTATAGCAGGAACACAAAATAACAGTACCAGCAATAGTAGGTTGTACATTTGCTGAAATCTAAATTTAGTTAAGCCATTAAACCTATGAAAATAAAATTGAAAAATATGATGCTAGTCATTGTTGCTTATGTTCCATACGCGAGTTGCAGGAAAATATGAATGTAAAAAATGAATTGATAGCGGTTACTTTTTTCCAACATGAGACAGCTACCATTAAACTGGTTCAAGGTAAGCGGTTCTATTGCTTGAAATTTTATTAGCAACAAAAAATTTTGAAAATTCGCGCTTATATGATTTAATGATGATGAACAGTTTTTGACGATTAGAGTTTTAGTATGATGTTTGCTTGTGGATTTAATTTTTAAATTTGAGTTTGAGTTATGATATCTTTTGTTATTTGTTACTTCCTCTTTGATAAATTAAAAAAAAAGGAAATGTGTGGGTGAATATGAAGAAGGTTAATAACATAAATTAGTTGACTTTTTGATTTTTTTTTAACGATTATATCAAAAAATGTTCATCACTAATTACATTATTAATTTTAGCAGTTTTTTAATGAAAAAAGTTATAACTATTTTCAATAATGGTATAGCAGCAGGAATAAAAAGCTGTTATCAGTGACATTGTCTCACATACTGATTCATTTAAATTGCGAGAATAATTAGTGTTACTGAAAATTCTTCAGTTTTTATGAAGTGCAGATTCTTGTCTAATAACTCAATTGTCATTCACAAACAAACCATTCACGATCAAGTTGATGCGTCTTTTTAAAATCAGCATGAGGTAAGCGGAAGAAGTTATTTTTGATTTTTCATCAGCAGTACGAGAAACTTTAATTCATGTATTCACTTCCTTCATCGTGAATGATCGTGCGAAATTAAATGCTGTCCACAGTGAATAATGTTTACTATGGAAATTTGAGGGTAAAAAAATTTTGAAGCATTAGTGAAGCAGAAGATTCAAAATCTGTAAACATTGAAAATGAACTGTCCGACGAAAATCAAGTAATTCGAACTTGCAACTGATGAACTTATCACTAGTTTTTGTGGGGAACTTGTTATATCTTCATCAGATATGAAGAGAGTCTATAAACTGGAGTATTAACCAAATTGTATAAAATTAAAAAACAAGGCTGATCTGAAATAGCTATGCTTTAATTGCACTAATTAAAGATTAATTTTTAACAATAATTCCTTATCATTGCGCAGTATAAAACACTGAGCAATGTAATATCTATTCGATTACACTGAACCGGCGATAGAAAAAGAATTCGCTGAAAAAAAAATAATGGTAGTATATATTAGTTGTCACTAATTAAATGAATGTACCTGTCTTAGCCCAGGAGTAAAAGCTGAATAAAAGTTTGAAATCGATGAGGTTTTTTAATTAAAATTATTTACTAATTCTTTTCAATATAAATAACAGAAAAAATCTTTTCTGTTATATGTTCCAATTTGGAATTTCTTCACATACATTTCTTTCGTTTAATATTATCAATCTGAGATGGGTTTCGTTTCGTACATCAATTAATTTGAATTAATCATTTAATTTATATTTATGTAATTGCAGTTGATTATTAGCACCTCCTAATACTTCTTGAATCACTTAAATACTCGAAAAGCCAATTTTTGCATTCTTTCAGCACTTACAACGTACTTAAAGAAACAATGCACTTCCACATCCATTTCAAAATAGCATTTAGAGATTGCTAAAGAATTCAAAATGATAGTAATATCTTCAATCTTCCCTTAATTAGTTTACAATAAAAGCTTAATTTCTTACCTCAACTCTACTCCAGTTATTATGACTATGGAAGAAATAATAATTATTGTACAGAACCATAATTATTTATATAAAAAAGTGAGTGTAGAAGGATGTTTGATAGATAACCTCACATTTTTCCATGTTAGAACTGTTTAGTTATAAATCAAGTGCGAATCACCGTAATATTATTGCTATTATCTTTATAATATTAGAGCATTAACAATGTATTTCTTGCTGTATGCTTATTTTTGCTGTTTTGAGAAATTCTATTAGCCAGTGAAATATGTTTCATTGTTCTTGTTGTATACAAAAAAAAAGCTGGAAAGTTTCAATACACTTAAATACAGTGTCATAATTTGCTAAACATATTACTTTAAAAAGTTACTGTTGTTGTTAATTACTACCGTTAATAAGTTGTTGGAATGGTATAAGACGTTTTGTAAGTGTATAGCAGTAAAAGTTTAAATTTATGCTCATTAGAGCGCAAACTTTTTGCATAATTTTGCTGCATAAATCTGAACCTGGGCGAGAAAAGCAAAGAGGCATGAAAATTATGTGCCACTGAAAGTTGGTTCTCAATATTCAAAGTTAAGTTGTTTTTTGCTAGCAGTTGAAGGAAAAAAAATTTTATGCAATTGAAGTCATCAGTAAATGACAGAGTTAAGACGAGTGTAACTAGGAATATTTTTAGGATTTTCTAGTGCTATTCACAATTATATTGTCATTTATTAATCAAATATCAAAGTCAGGTTTGTTCCTTGTTAAAAAGGGTTTAAAATAAAATTGCCTTATGTTGCAACGCGCTGTAGTCGAAAGAGATATATTTTTGTATAAGGAAGAGAAAAAGGAATGAAAATTTGTTTTATGAACATACGATAAAGCAGGAACTCAGTAATATTTTTTAAATCAAAACTGAAAAGTTTAAATTTTATGACGATGAAAATTATGAAATGATATTTGAGAGACGGATGGGAAGATATATCTGCAATGTGTTGGTTATGCAGTATGATTTCACACCAGAGTATGAAAAATTCATCTTGAACAATTATTTTTAATTTTCTGGCTAAACCCTAAGAAAATACGTCGCGTTTCTTGAAAATAACATAAAGCCAGCAATTTAAGACAAGCTGAAATAAAGAGGAGAAGTAAAATGAAATGATACTTTCAAAAGATTCTAGGCGTTAATTATACTTGCTATACATGACAAAAAATAAACTTAAAAAATAAAAGATTGAAAAAAACTTCAAAAACCACTGCAAAATGATCATTGATTTTCGTTCCTGTCAAGCAATGTAATACTTCGTTGACCCTGAATGGATAAAGCCATGCGTAAACTTCCAACAAGGTAAGTCATATGATTTATAGTATTAGAGACCCTGCCAGCACTCGTGGTGATCACAGGATTCAACTAAAACGCATTCGAATTTTCGCCATTTATTTAAAACTTTTGAAAATATATTTCACAGAGTTGCTAATCTCTCATCACTCATTGTGATAACTCAGTGGGAGAATATGATAAATTCTGCTGAATTCATTTGTTCCAATCTATCTACCATTTTCCCTCGCATAAAAACGCTGCACAAACAAACGTTTACTCAGATAAATGGAATTTATTTCCATGACCTCAAAAAAATGATTTAAAAAATTTTCTCGATAGCAAAACATACGGTAAAAATTATGAATATACAAAATGCTGGCGCAATAAAGCATTTTCAGCAAAAAATTGATTTTGCAACCGATAACCATGACATTGAAAATATGGCCGGGTGTATGAGGTGACGAATAGGCAGAAAAAGATGAGACGATGAAATTGGATGTAATGAAAATAAAAAATAAAACCTTGCTTTTAATGGAATTATTTATTTGAAGGAAAAGATTTTCTTCATTATTTTTACAGAGCTACTTTTGCAATAAAAATTAAAGTTGATTATATTAACACCTTGCTCATATAACAAAACATAAGATTCTTAAATTTGATAAGTAAAAATTCTGATGGGAAACTTGAATTTACACTTGCCACTACCTAGATCTCATTATACAAAAAACTTTGAAGCTGATAAGTTGATAAGCTAAGGCTGCTGACTAAAACTGTTAAAGCTGAACTTTAATGACTTACTTCAGACTAAATATCCTTATTTTTAAATCTTGATAAATCTCATTTGTGACTAATTGAATACCCTTATGTAAAACAGTTGTATAAAAAGAATTAACCATTAAACTCTTTCAAAACATTGAACTCTTTAAACCATCCTAAAAGTGTTTCATTTCGACGATTAGTACTTTAATATGTTAGAGAATAATAGCAATAATTATTTATGTACAAAATGAAAACTAGAACAAGAAAATTTTGCTATATTAGCTTTTTGCAAAAAATTATTTAAAATTAGGGAAATCTATAAGATAAAGATCATTTCAGGAGAAATAGCAAAAATAACTGGAAAATTAATTAACGTAAATGATACGCTTCTTGTCTTGAAGATCATTTTGCAAACAATAGGTATCATTATAATAAATGTTGAAAAGAATTATAGCCTTTAAACTTGACAAAAATGATCATGATATACAGGTTAATACAATTTTTCAAAGCAAATTTTAGGACAAGAAAAAGACTCCAAAATTTTTACTATTCCTTATCTTAACCTCATCTCTTTTACTGCTTTCTCTTTTATTTTCATTACCGCAAAAAGCTTTATGAATGTTGCCAATCACTAGAATAGTGCTAATATTATTCACATAGTTTCATTTTTCTCCTAAGTTACTTGTACTATTGATAATGTAATGTATTACCAATATAACTTTACGAAATTAGTAATTATAACTTCAAAGGTGCCGAATTATTAATTATTTGTCATCCATGTTTAATACTAATTAGATTAAAAGAACAGATTAATGACTGGCATCACGAATTTTATTTAAGAATGCTGAAAGCCAGTGTATGTTTTTGCTAACATTAAAAGTTAAGATTTATTGAATAACTGCTGATTGTCTGACAAAGCCATTATGTGATCAGTCTGGTACAGAAATATTTTTAAGAAAAAGTTGAGTATTATATAAAAAATGTTGATATTTCTTAATTCAATAAAAAAAGATCAACTGAAGTACTATCTTCTATTCAAAAATCTTGTCTCATCTTTCAACCCTTTTTGTGCAAGAATTGTGAAAAGTACCCTTCCTAATTTTTCTTATATTTTTTTCTAAGTTCTATAGTTTAAATCATTTTGAATTTTTAAAGTTCTACTTTACATTAATTTGAATTACTAATATAACGAGTATAGTTTTTGCAA